AAGTGGAAATTGAAACGTCAATAAACGTAATTTAAGCTTTAATTGTGGCTTATTCCCAGTTAAATAGTAACTATCTTTTCACATATTACCAAATCGAACAAAGTCCAACTAATATTATAAATTATAGATTTAACTACTATAACTAAAATTCAAGTTTAAACGAATATTAACATTTTCAACGATAATTAAACTAAATTTACTAAACGTTAACTAAACGGCATCGAGTTAGAATGTATGGAGAAGCTATTAGCATATTAACGTATGTATTAAAAACGGCATAGGTAGGAGTGGCTAACGATAATACCAATATGGCGGTGTCATCAGGGCCAGACTCAATAATAATAAAACTACTATACAAATATGACTAGTTATTCAAAAGATTTAATCATAATCTAAAAAAGTGCAATACATTTTTAATAAACTATGATTTATTTATCCAGCGGTAAACACTAAAAACACGATATATTATACATAAAGATAAATTATTACAGTCAAATAGTATTAATTTATTCTCTGAAGTACGGGCCATTACTTTGTTTACATATTTATATACGAACCTGTGGAACGATATTCCGAAGATTTTTTATTAACATCACTTCTGCTACTCCAACTACGTTGAGAACAAGAAACCATTATTATGCACTATCACAATATATTACAGTTTCTATAAAAGTATTATAAAACTGAAAATATTCGAAAAACAACAAATATAACCAAACATATACGATCTGTCAAAAGTTTCAAAACAATAATACCAATATGGCCGAAGTGGGGTCGTTTTTAGTCACGTGATACCCTCTCCATAGATTCTAACTCGATGCTAAACGGGCACTCTAACCTAACCAAGCTTTTATATGAAATTTAACATACACTTAAATGGTGTCAGAGTTGCCAAGTCTCCAGTTTTTTCATACTCTCACATAATATTATACAAATGCATTGAAATTATATAAAAAATCGTAGATTTTAATTAAATTAAAGATAATAATTAAATGTATATACAATAAAATTGAATAAAGTGATATAAAAAATTAATAGTATTAATTAAATTAACGTATATAATAGCAATGCATTGAAATTTATGATTCACAAGTGTCATTGTAGCGGGTTGACCATTCGCACCTAATAATAAGGTCCTAATAGATAAAATTTGGAAAGTGCTAATTTACAATATTTAACTGCATTTAAAGTAACAGAAAATATTTGTTTTATACTTATTTAAAACTTGTAGCTTCTCAGAATACCAATTATAATTTCGTAAAAGTAACTTATATTTTAAACCTTCATATACATTTTACAAAAAAAATACGGCAAGTTTTATACTTTTAGCACAAATACTTTTAGTACAAATTTTTAGGCAAATTAGTACTTCTCATAACACAAAATATTATTTCGTAAAGGTAACTTTATATTTGTAACATTCATATACAAATTTTACTAAAATAAATACGGCAACACTGTGACGCGGTGCCTTGAAGAAAATATATTTAGTTAGGTTAGAGTGCCCGTTTATGCTTATTGCCCGAAAAAAAATTAAATTTTATTAATGATGTTAATAATACTTTCAGACATTACAAATAATGTCTGTACTGCTTCATATATAGACCACCAATAATCCGTAGCCTTGATTTGGCCTATAAATTGTATCAGACGTGGAACTTTATCTGAAAAATACAACATTAATAAATTATAAATAATATTAGTTTATTTATTAATCAAACGGGGTATATATTGCAAATAACACTTATTGCGTTAGTTGCAATATATGCTTTTAAGTTATAGTGATTCTGAAAGCATGTCAACTATCAAATGAAAATGATTTATAGCACAAATTTTATTGCACGTGATATAAAACCCAATGTAACATAAAACAGTCACGGAGATTTTCTACAACAAATTATTCAGCATTGTTCTGAAAATGTTTATTTTTTAACTACAATTTTTAAACATACCAATTTATTTCAATTCTTGTCTTAAATTTTTTAGTCATTTTAATCAACATAACATGCATATGATGATATACGTACGTAATCTCTACAGGTACAAAATATTTATAATTTCCAAAAAGGAAAAGGTCATTAATGAAGACGAATCTTTGGCAAACATTAAAAGAGATAAATTGTGGAAAACTTTAAGTGAATTAGGATTCGTTTATGAGAATAACAATAGAAAATCTACGCTTATAGAGAAAAAAGAAATTATTTGTTGGTGGAGGCAATATTTAAGGAACATTTAAAATTAAGGAGAGAAGGCGAAAATATTTTTTTTATTTTGAATAATACATGGATAAATGAAGGGTATTTTGTAAAAAAAAAGTTTGGCAAGATAAACTGGTTACAAATGCTCGTCATGCATTCATAAAAGTTTTGTCTACGGGCTTAAAATTTCAAATAGTAGAGGTCAAAGGTCGCCGTTTAATTATCACTCATACTGGATGAGATAAAGGATTTGTTGATGGAGGCTTACTAGATTTTATTTAAAATTCTACGAACTACTACCATGAAGAAATGACAGCTGATGTTTTTCAGGAATATTTCAGTCAAATTACCGACCACTTCTACAATAGTCATGGACAATGCCAGTTACCATTCAAGATTAAGTTACCGAACACTAAATGGAGAAAGCAAGAACTCTTGGATTGGCTACTAACCAAAGAAATAGTACTGCCAGCAGAAGGTTTACTCAAAAACGAGTTACTGCAGCTATGCAAACAATATTCACCAAAATTTAAGAAGTATAGTGTAGATAAAATAGAAAAGGAATATGGAATTAAAGTGTTGCGATTACCACCTTATCACTGTGAACTTAACCCCATAGAACTAATTTGGGTTCAAATAAAGGGATATGTCTCGAGAAATAATATAACATTTAAACTTCAAGGTGTTCTTTAACTACTATCTGACTACATATCAAAAATTTCATCTGACAATTATTGAAAAGCTATAAGAAGTGTCATAGCAGAGGAAGAAACATTCTGGAAACTCGATATGTTAATAGAGGAAACAATAGAACCGATTATTATTTCTGTGGAAAATGAAGAAACTGATGATGATGATCCCTCCTTATCGGAAGAAGACAACTTATGTATTTATTTATGTAATTATATCTTTATATTACTAATTATAAGTTTATATGGCGCTAGTACCCGAAATATATTTATTATTAAATAGTAAGAAAATGTCCTAAACCAATATTCAGTATTTTTATAAAAATTAATGTGGGTACGTAATATTGACATTTTAGTTTTTTTATATTAAAGTAATTTTATGTTCTCCGTCACTGGGGCGTTCAGTTATTGCTTAATCCATTAGACCATCAGCACATTGGTCGATCGAAGGCACGCGTCTAAGTTCATGCATCGTGCTCGTCTTATGTGAACCCTGAGGTATGAGCGATTGTTCACCGCAAACTAGTCGATTCAGTTTGCTCACATCTGCCAACCAGGAAGAACACATTTTTTATATATCCATATTGGCATATTCTTTCATTGTATAATTATATAATTCAGAGTATTTTTACACTTCCCCAACGAATTTTATATTAAACATCTAGAAACAGAATCTTATCCCCTCTCATGCACTACCAATCGCATGTGACGAGAGTCGTACAAGACGAGGAGATTTGCAATTCTAGTCGACCACTAATCGCCCCGTCTACGGAGCTCAATGCAACAGCGAAGGAACTTTGGTGGTGGGGAGAGACCTACGCGATTAAAATCGAGTCGACAAGTTCAAGCGTCGACCCATGTGCGGATTGCCTTAGGGTTTGCTTATTTGCATTTTATGATGTATTGTATTTGAGGTTTGTCGAGGTGGTCATATTAAATTAGAGTGAAATTCAGATAAGGAATCAATTAATACGTTTTTTTGCATTGGCCAACCCTGTATTCAGATCTTTGTTACATAATTTTTTCTATCAATCATTTTCAAATGCACTATAGGCGTGGCAATGAAGCAAATACCAAATTTTTGCAGTAGGGTGGATCACAATGAAACTTTTTGCATTCGATTCGTATTAGTGCCAGGAACTTTTGTGAACAAAAAGGATGTGGAAATGAAAATTGCATTTCGAAGTGATGAAACTGATAAATTTTTAAATAAATATGAAATAATTGACGGAAAGTAATTCAATATTATTACTTAAGAGTTTTTGGGGTCACTGAACATGAATAACATGACGGAAATGATCGCAGAGGTACTTGGGCCTCGTCTCCTGGAGTTTTTTTTTTGAAAATTTGATACAAAATCAGTGCAAACTCATTACTTCGTTTTTTGGGGCCCCTGAACACTAATATCAAGTCGGTGACGATGTGCGAGGCACCTAGTACACAGGATTGGCCTCGTCTCCTAGAGTTTTGTGTAAATTCGATACAAAATCAATGCAAACTCGTTACTCGTGGGGTTTTCGGATAGCTGAATACTAATATCATGCCGACGATTGTGTCCGAGGAACCTTGTGCTCAGGAGACGGCTGGTCTCTTGGAGTTTATGAATTGATAAACAATGTCGGTTAATAGTGAAATAAACTGGGAAAGTTTTGGGCAAATCCCGAAAGATAGATATCAAGAAGTCAATAATATAATACCAGGTTTGGATTTCTAAGGGATTAACATCTTGAATAAAAAAATAGATAATTGGTGAATGAAACTGGGGAGAATATGAGAAGTGATAGGGAAATAGGTGAAAATTTAGAGAATGCGTCTTGTTAAGTTTCAATTTGAACTCTTTTTATTAGCGGAGTTCAATACGTGGGGCACCAAGTTGTTATGGTTTATATGTATGACAACAATTCATTTAGTCTAATGCTTGTATTAACGTTATTCTGGTCTTTATAGTGTGTAATTTATTTATATAATTATATACTATAAATATACCAATCATAACCTTAATGCAAATTAAATTCTCAGAGCTATTTGTGCGTCTAGTTAAACACGAGTTTCTAAATATTTTCGAAATGTAAAAGGTAAATAACTAAATTGGAAACACAAATAAATTCATCCATTAAACTAATAATAAACAATACCATACATATAATAATAACAATTGATTCTATAGAAACGGAATTAATATGAATACATTTAATACGGGAAAGATTCCAAATTGTTGAATGCCACTAATAAAAACATTTCTTGTCAATTGAAATTGTCTGTATGAATTTAATGATGAATTTCGAACGCATAAAATTTCCATATATTTTAATTCACACAAAACAAATCAAATGAAACCGAAGTTATCTACTTACCCGCATTTGGTAGGCTCAGAAGAGATATCACAGCTCGCAAAGCAAATGTTTTTAATTCGGTTAGTTTTTCCTGGTCTTGCCTAAGAGCGTCATTTGTTAATTCCAACGAAAATATATTATTAAGTGGCTCAATAAACAATTCGGTCGCTAAAACAAATTAATATTTTTAAGTTGGATGTGACAGAAAAAGCGGTAGTTCCCTGATTAAACTACGTTTGATTCGTTGATATTTAAAATGGTCACTTTCTATGGCCAATCTTTCGAAGCGTCAAAGAGTGAAGTTCAGATCAGTATTTGACGTTATTTTACAGCGCTCTGCATTATTTTGTATTCGGATAGCTTATGATACTTGGATACTTTAAACGAAGGTATCCAAAAAGATTCTGATTATTCCATCACAATGATCGAATCAGTAGCCACTAGTTTTGAACCCAAATTGATAATAAATAAATACGAAAATCCCATCAGGACTCTTGTATAGAGAATGTTTATTAAAGGTAAAAGCATTACAACTGGTTAGTTTAAATATTTCATCGTAGTTCTAAAAGAAAGGACTAACTAAGTTTCCAGAGACATTTCTTTTAAAAAATCGTTACTGACAACCAGTTGTTACATATATATTACATACAGTCGATCCGCCGGATCTTTGCATATCGTAATCATTCTTATTATAGGAAATAAATCAAAACATGTGAGTCAAACGTATGTCGGCTATACGAATTATTATAAAAATTAGAAAATGGCTAATATTACAATTGACGTTTTTATACTTCTCTTTTATTTCATTTATTGCATTTTAAAAACTGGGTACGTATACATTTATGAACGTGATTTTACAAGTTGTCCAATAACATCTACAGTAAATAAATATTTAAACCATAGTAATCAGAAATTAAAGTATTTTTATTGAATATAAGCATAATGTTTCTTATTGCCTGTTGACGGAGTTTTAGCTATATTTAAATAATTAATGTCAATTTAGAGGTTAAAAAAATATATTATTCAATATTAGCTAATACATGAATTCTTACCTTAATAAATTGAACATGAAGGTAAGGGTTAGTCGTTACAACAACTGTTTGTTAAAAAATATGTATATTTAAAGTATGAAAAAGGATTGATTATTTAAATCAAACGAAAATAATTTATAAAAATATTACAAACTCTGTCAAAACAAAATTTCCAATTGACATGTCAATTGTCAGTAGACGAATCAATCAGAGATCATTGTTCTATGGCTGTCTTTGTTTAATGCATGGTGTTGTGTATGGACAGGCGGTTTAAGTTAATAGTTTTAGTTTCTGTTAGTAGGAAAGAGACGTAACATAAAAAATGATTCGTGAATAATGTCATACTTGTGCAAAGATCCGGCGGACCGACTGTATATAAAGTATATAGAAGTGAAAAATGATCATAAAAAGAATTCCAGAATTGCAGGAAGCAAACAGTTTTGGCTGTACCACATTTTTAGATTTTGATGCCCTTGACCAACGTTTTACGTGACCTAGTGGATCAATAGTATCATAATTGGATAATATAGAACACAATTGGCATACCATTACCATACTAGCCATGGCAGGGTTACTTCGGCGCCCCTAAATGGATGATTCAGCACGTCACTTACGAGCATATACAGAGAATTGGTTGTAGAAACGATAATTTTAAATTAAATAAACACCAATACACTGAAGGAAAAATAGCCAAAAATAAATTACTTACCTTGAGATACTTCTCTTGGACACACTAGTGTAAGTTTTTCGATTAAAATAAATGTAAATACTTGTATATCGCGGTGGTCGTCTAGTCCACGTATAACATGTTTCATAAATTCAAATAAATCTATTTTGTGGGATAAACAGTTTAGCACCGTGTACAAGCATTCGTATGCCGCCTTTCTAGTGTCCAAACCATTATCAATTATTAGTCTGAACGGTCCCTGTTCTATTTCCGTAATCAAATTAACCTGAAAAATTAAACTTCTAAATTATGAAGGCATTATTAAAGGTTACTAGGTTGTATGTTTCGATTTTGAGCAAAAACTTTGCATCATGTCCCGAAAGCTGATTTAAATTATATTCTTTGACGTGAATTGGAGAGTGAAAATGTGGAAATTGTATTAATTATAATATATAACTTGAGAACAATTGCAAGCCAAATGTTAAGGTTCCGCGAGGTGCGCGAAATGAAATACTTACAGTCACTCGACATTTTGAAAAATCTTACTGTAAACGTACCTTTACCACCGTTTCTTCATAAATTTGAGGTAAAATAGACTCTAACAAATGTGTAACAAGCACTGGTTTCTTATAGACAGCGGTATTAACGGTTGCTATTGCTGCCCTTCTTACGTGTACGTCTGAGTCCTTAAAACTAACCAAAAAGTCTTGAATGTATTCTCTTAATAATAGATCAATTGTTGAAGGCTAAAAATAAAAGTCAAATTTAGTTAAGTTTTATAATAAATAGGATTATTCGGTAGGTAGGTTGTGATATCTTGTTGTTTTCCTTCTAAATTGATTGCATCTAATAACTGTTAAATTTGACGTTGTTATTTTGCAAAGCGTTTCGATATCTGTCTTTATCACTGTATATACACTCAATTTGTATGATATATTTCATGTTTTAAGGAAGGTCTACAAATAAAGGCTATATCTAAATATTAATAGAGAAAAGGGATTCATTCGAAAAGATGCAAAAGGACACCAAAAATACCCCAAATGTTGAAAATGTTATCAGATGGATATGAAAGATATTAAAAGAGAGCAATATAGATCAGGAAATTAAATCACACAGTTAAGAAAAGAGATTATTGAATTCTTGATTGATACTTAAATAAAAAAAATTAGAAAGATAACAGAGCTTAATGAAAAGGCAATACATATACAGCGATACAGCTGTTTCAAATTTTAATAAATATGAGGGGAAGATATATGCAAACATACTTCCCCTCAAAAGCCGAATCTAGTTGACCTGGTTTTGCTCCACTCTTAGTAGACAAACGGCTCCCTCAGATCCTTGAAAAAGGGTAAACAAAATTCAATGAACCAAAAAGTTTACCGTTAGTGATGAATCCAAAATTCTCCATGAGTACATGTGAAATAAACTTAAGCTTCCTTCTAATTTCCATTCATACTAAAGGAATGTCTAAATATTTTGTAAACAAATAAGAAATTGAAAAGGGAAATTCCCAGTGATTGGCTGTATACCATAGTTTAAAAAAAATTTACAATGAAGTAAAAACTTTTTTTTATAAAATGGTATAAAATTTTATTATTCAAATTTTTAAAACTTATCCAAAATGGATTAATGAATTTTCAGAACGTTTTCGATAATATCAGATCATCCCCAGTGAAAAATCTAAAAGTATAACCACTTAAAAATAAAAACAAAAGGGATAAAATTTTGACTGTTAAACTGAAAATGTGGTTATTACTTACGTCTATATAGTATTTGGATTTAGCCACATGATGAGGTCAGATCCCTTAAATTACATAATCTCAGTAACTAACATTAAGACACTAGGTCGATGGTAAAGGATTACATTTTTTAGAGAAAATACAATTTTCCAGCTCTTACGCTGAACTCAAATAAAAAGGAAACCTTATGCCTCGAGAGGTAACAACCAACTATTGACAGAAGGAAGTAAAAATTGTTTTGAAATGACCAGACCTTCAAGACAAGTGATAAGTAGTTTATTTAAAAAAATCTTCACATATTATATGCCCAATAAGGGTGTTATTTAAAATTAAACTTATATTATTGTTTTAAATGATATATAATAAAAATTATGTTTATTTGTTGTTGAAGAAAAAAGAATAATTGTATTATGAATAATTAAAAAGTTAAATATTTGCTTTGAAGTGATGACGTCATTCAATAAACTGAGTTATTAAAATGAGGATTTTTATAATAAACATCAATAATGATAGGTTGAATTTGCAGAATATAATGTTGATACTATGAAGGTTTTGTAGAAATGACCTAAGAATTGGAGATTCTGATTGAATTCAAAGAGTATTGATGGTCGCCTATGTGTAAGAGTCTGCAAAAATGAAATTCATAATATATACAGATTGAACGAATTTAAAACGGATCATACAATTTAATATATGTCTGTTTGAACTGCATTTGAAATAGTGGACCAATATAAAACTTGGACAAAAATAAATCCATACCCGGTGATAGACATTGTATAAAATATCGTTCAAGTATCCGTCTCCTTTTAGAACGCACCATAGTCTAGAGCGCAGCCCAAAGTCAATGTTGCCAATCGCCGTGTAATAATCCGATTTGCGGATGTTTTTGAGAGTTATATCTTCTTCGTATCTTTAAATAAATCGGATATTTGCCTATATTTTTCATTGTATTTACCAATCTACTACAACAGACTAATAACAAAAATAAACTTAATGGTTTGTAGTTATTTCAGAAGTTTGTAGTTATTTTAGAAACATCTAGAGGAATGATATTGGCAACACCGCTCAAAATCTCCATCTCCGATAAACGAAAGAGGGGCTTACCTAAAGCCGGCCACTCACGATACAGCGGCGTGGTTCAACTTCGTTTTTAACTACACACTTGCTTTGATCATATTATAGAAAATCGAAATGGCTTGATTTAGCGAGAATTTTTTAAGAGAGTTTTTTGAATTATATAAAATACAAGAATGCTTATAGCGAATAAAAGGTAAAACGTATCACGATAGAAACGCCCGAAAACAGGCAATGGACATTCTAGTTTTAAAGTTCCAAGAAGTAAACAAAGATGCGAATGAAGAGTATGTAAGAAAAAAAATTAACAATTTTAGAACATCCTATAAAAGAGAATTAAAATTAGCATTGCAGTCCAGTAAATCGGGTGCAGGGGCAGACGAGATTTATTTTGCACCAAAATCTTGGATTCTTTGCACCAGAATCTACGTTTTATTTTAGGTTTCTTTTTACGCTTAGTTATACACAAAGTAAGAGACGCTAAAATGATTGTTTGATTTGACATGGTCGAGAACCGAACAAATACTGCGGCGCAGTATGGTGTGTGGGCGCACCAGATATACCAACAAATTGAACAACGCCTCTGTCCGATTATGTCGAACGACACCGCTGTACCGTGAGTGGCCGGCTTTAGGAAGCGATAGGTGGTTTGACCACCTATGAATGAGTTCTTGAATTAGTTCAGAATCCAGCAGCCCGTTGAAGTATTGGATTTTTATAACATAATTATTTGACAACCTTTTGTTGGCCAGCCACCTAGACCGGAGTTGAGCCGAAACACATATATTTCGTATATTCCGAATTTAACTCGTTCAATCGTATGGAGAACCTAGAGTTTAAAAAAAATGGTATATAAATATTGTCAACTTATAATTATTTAAATGTGTGTTGTAATCACAAAAGGATGTAATATATGAAAAAAAAGGGGTAGAAACATATGTATTAGTACCAAGAAGGTTGGTTAAAATACTCTATACTACGTTCCACGTTTAGAAAATAACATTGCGGAGATAGGGCCATGTATTTCTTATGGACGATAGCAACGCGGCGTTGCCACGACACACACAAGCACAATTTAGGGTTGTATAATTTGTATTTTTGTTTCCACAAACATAAATTAAATTAATGTTTTTTAACGTAATTGACCAAAAGTGCCCATTCGAAACAAAAGATGAAAAGTAGAGAAAATGATTTTAATTAGATAAATAGTATTTACAAAAAATAATTTTATTTCATCTTATATTAATTATAGTAACGACAGTTTATTTGTTTTTCGGTAAGAATACGATATGCCATGAATCATAGAAATCAGTAGAAAATATTGACCGCTTGGAATGCGTATATCTAATTACTAATTGCAACTTAAAATAATACGATGTGCGTATGTCAGCTATTTTATGTCGTTCTCTGACTACATAATAATAATAAGGCTTTTATTTAGTAGTTATTCTGACTTTACAGTTAAATGTTAATTGAAAATGAAAATTCAAAAATTAAGCAAAGGGAATATCTTGGACATCCGTGCAAAAGAGAGTGTCTGAGAGTTTTGGCAACACTGATCTCCATAAGCGTAATGTTATTTTCTTAACTTGAAACAAAGAATAGGCAATTTGGATTTATGGGGTCCCTACAGACGAGAGTTTCTTTATGTGTTTAGAAAAAGTGCAGTATCTAACTGTATTACAAAATTTAACAAATTTCTATATTTTTTTTTAATTAAATTTGTGGCAAGGAGGTAGGAACAAAACGGGATGTTATGTTGACGATTATGTCTTCTCCCACTGGCTATATCTGCAGGGCATAAATTTATGATAAAGAAAACTGAAATGCTGATGGGAGATGCTTTGAGAACTAGAGGAGTTAGAGGACGAGATAAGTAAACGGAAAAATGTTTACGATTTTTTCGAAATACGAAACTGCTGAAAGAGGATAGAGTAGAGTACAAATGGGACAAGATAAGGGAATTAATAGATAACAGAGACGAAGGACAGGAAATCCCTATAATAACATTATCTGAATTGACGGAAACCTTAAAAGAGGTTAAAAACGGAAAAGCCGCACGGCCTGGAGACATTCCCATAGAGCTGGTTAAATATGGGCCGACTGCACTTTTAGAATTAATAGTAGACCTTTTTAATAAAGGTATGTGTGGAGACCAGGAAATTCCTAAATATTGGAATAAATCTTATATGAGCTCCATATATAAGAGAGGGAATAAAAGAGACTGTTCCAATTATAGAGGTATTAGTGTGACGAGCTCTGTGGGCCGGTTGTACGGCAGACTATTAAAGAAGAGGGTTGAAAGACAGATACAAGATATTGAAGAACAAAGCGGCTTTCGTACCGGGAGATCCTGCTTTGATATTATATTTATCCTACGACAAATAATTGAAAAGCGTGTCGAACGAAGTAGAGACCCATTTGGTATTTATAGACCTTTAGAAAGCATATGATAATGTCCCGTTAAAGAAAATGTTTGAGGTCCTCGAAAGGTCCGGATTAGATTCGACGTATATCCGAGCGATATATAAATTGTACGAAAATGCAGTTAGTTGTGTAAAAATTGGAACCAGAACTTCAAATGAATTTAAAGTCACTAAAGGCCTAAAGCAAGAATGCTGTTTGTCACCGACACTCTTTAAAATATACGTCCAAGAAGCATTGAGGAATTGGAGAAATAAATGTAGATTTATGGGCATCGAAGTGGGACAAGAAACTCTGTATACATTGTTGTTTGCAGATGATCAGGCGGTGGTTGCAACCGAAGAGGAAGATATAAATTATATGATTCGAAAATTATTTGAGGAATATGCCAAATGGGGGCTTACTGTAAACATAAGCAAAGCAGAATATTTAAAAATTGGAGGAAATACCACAGATCAGTGGTAGATAAGCATTATATCAGCAGATGGCAGAGTTAAGATAGATGTACAAAACCGAATAACCCAAGGGAAAAAATGCACCCGAATACTGAATTCATTACTGTGGTCTAATAAAATAAAGATACATACCAAACTTCGTGTATACAGAGCAATTGTAGAACCGATTACCACATATGGTGCCGAATGTTGGACGATGACAAAGAATGAACGAGATAAAGTAGACGTTGTGGAAATGGATTATCTTAGAAGGTCATGTCGAGTATCGAGAATGGAAAGAATCAGGAATGAGGAAATACGAAACCGTACAGGACTTAGAGATACTCTTTCAGGTAGAATACAAGGAAGGCAATTACCAAAGAAAGCCTTAATGTATGTTCCGTCAGAAAGAAGGAAAAGGGAAAGACCATCAAATTCCTGGAGAAGAGAAATTACAAAAATAGGACCCCCGTTATATGAAGATGAAAAATTTTTAAAAATGTGTGGAATGATTATTGATCGAAGTTAGAGGGGGCGAAAATGGGTATGTGAAGATTATCTGTTGTCACAGTAAGAAAAAAGTTAATATGATGTTAATAGGAGGGGGCGTAGAAGGTTGCGCTAAATTGAAAACATTAAAAATGGTAGGAAACCTCAGATAGACTTAGAAAGACTAGTAGGATGAATGTTTGGAATAAATGATAGGATAGATGCAAATGAAAAAGAAAGGTGCTGGCCAAGTAGTGATGAGAAAATCATGAATTGTAAGAAGAACAATGGAATAATACTAAAGAAAATAATTGTCGGTGTATGGCAGTGAAGTCACGATTGAAAGAGAGGTCATGATTGACGCAATCGGGGCAAGTCCTAATATCTCTGACAATTTCCAGATATTTATACAGATATAAACGGAGTATGTTTTGTCTTGAATGTTATGAATCAAGTATACACTGTCTGAAATGTTTAAGTGATGTTTTTATTGACTTTGAGATAATGAGAGAAGGTGGAAATATTGTCACGTTCGGAGTGTTCTGCTGATCTGGTGGATCTATATGTAAACAAGAAATATTTTATTTACTTTCATCGACACTTTTCTTTATTTTATAAATTACTATTTATATTTAATTTTTTACATTTTTATTGTAAATACATTACTCACGAAACCTTATATTTATACATAAAATACAGGTAATAAAAAACTCACCTGGTTTGAAATAGTTAAGTTAAAAGCCGCCATGGCGGTAAATCTAATTGGCGGTGATGGGGAGTCAAGTAGCAATTGTAACTTTGGTAGACAGTTTGTAGGGTCTATTAACGTTAATTTTCCCAGGCCCTCTGCCACTGAAACTCTTATTCCTTCTTCATGGTTTCCAGAGTGTTTGAACAATTCTTCCCAAACTGAAGCGACGTATAGAAGAAATTGCTGTTGGACATCGATGCTCTGAGCAAAATAGGTTATCACCTAATAAGAGAGAACAAAATCTATTTACAACAAATGTTTAGACGCTTCTGAAACTATTTTACACTTATTTACCACTTATTGCCGATTTCTTTAAACGATTTCCGGACTGGAAGTTGATATAACAAACATATGTCAACCAATTTTAAGTATCACCTTTGTAATACATAATATATTGGTTAAGATCAATTAGTATTTTCTCCTATTTCACAGCACGCAGAGAAACTGCGCTGAGGAAATAATCGATTGTTTAGTTACTACTATGTAGACATCTCCCGCCATGCGAGACTCCTGGGAGTAGCAATTCATTCTCTAGCTTCACTTGGGACAAAAATAAAACAATACCAAATAAACCAAACGGATACGCGAAAGGAATAACGTAACCTCAATCATAAAAACCAGGAACCTATGGAGCCAGAGACAAGAAATACTGAAAAGTAATTCGTTTAATCACAAAAACACTAACAAGCTCAATATGGATGAAAGAGGTCAAGTTGAACCTAAAGACAAGGGATGGAAGAATGTCCGTTCTGAGAAAAACACTTATGATGCACATCTTAGGAAGAAAAAGGAATCACCAGCGAAAAAAGTTATCCTAGGGACAAACGGTAAAACATACAAGAAAAGGAACACTACCACGTTTGGATACGTGTGTCACGTTCACTCAACAAATCTACAGTTGATGACAGAACTGTACCCCTGCAGTATGTTCTTAGTTGTTTTGCGGATGTTTATTGGTTTAAACCTTTGTAGAGTCTGCTAATGTACATATAGAGAACAATATTGTATATAATGAAGAGGATGATATTATTTATTTGATTTGATATTCTCGATCAACGTCAGCACTGAACCCGTCGTTAAGAGACTCGGGATATCAAGAACGTCGATGAGCGCCTACACTGCGAGCTAATAATGAAAAATAGTAAGAATCGGCCAATTCTTGATGAAATACGAAATGATCCCAGAATGTTTAAAGAGGATATAAAAATGTGCATAGTTCAAGACAAACAGAACATAGTAGATTGAAAATTAAGAAGAGAAATTACCGATTTAAATGTTCGATGTTCTTATGTTACTTACATGAGAACATGCAGGAATAAATAAAATGTATAAAAATATAAGGAAATAAGAAATAATCTGGAACGGGTTACGGAGAGATGTTGAAGAATATGTGAAGAGATGCGAAGACTGCCATAAGGCATAAGCACTCGATAATGACCAAACAACCCCTGACTATCACATCGATAGCAAACAAAGCGCATTACGACTTGATATTTACAGATCTGGTAGGCTCATTTGAGATGGATGACAATGGAAATTAAGAAAATGTATAGAAGGATCCCTAACAGAAAACCAAGAAACCGAAAAAGTACCCAGAAAAGTAGTAAAAAAACCAAGGCACAAAGTTTATAGTAAGAAAACAGGCGCATTGCTGCAAATAAAGCATCTAAACTCCACAGCTTATCACCACGAGACAATTGGAGCTGTAGAAAACACTCATAAGCATTTAAATGCCGTCAACAAAATTATTATAGCTAATTTTTCAGCTAAAGCACTATAATAGAACAGGAAGCAGGAAGAAGAAATTCAAATGCGTATCTTGGACTAAAACTGTCAAAATCCCACAAGTTGAAGTACTTGTGTACAACATTACTGTTTTTCATACATTTCGGTACACTTAGCAGCATGTTACCATAATACAATATTAACGATTATCCTTTGGAACTAAAATACAGACTACAAGTAGCTACTAAAGAAGCCAGAGAAACGGTGCCACGATCAAAATACATTAGAAATAAAACATATGTCAAAACAGGTACAATAACATGTAAACCAGGAGACAAGGTATTGGTAAAGACCGAGTCGACTTAAAAACTATAAACACCTAACAATATTATAAATAAAAATGATAACACATAGTCATTCATAAGAATAATGTTTATATAATACTGATTGAACACAAAAGAGATAATAATAAAACTTAAATTACATAAAAAAATTTGATAGTGAGTAAAGAAAGTGAAAAGAACACTATTATATACCACTACGAATTAAAATTAGGGATTCAACATTTGCAAATTTTTTCTGCCGAACGAATTTTTTTATGTAAATATTAGGTAAACATAATGTAGGGATAAACAAGGTAATTTAATGATAAGGTAAAAATGAGGAGAAGAGAAATGAAAGAAAACGATCACTTATGATTCCTTTCATTTTGGTTAGGTTAGTAAGGAAAGAAAATCTTAATAAATTCAAAGCAAATTGTTTTACATGCGCTCGCATTGCAATTAGTTAAATGCGGAACCGCATATTTAAAAATGAAAAATGTAAATCAAAGAGTCCATATTTCAATCCAGTGTATTGTTGCCCAGCGTAATTTAATGTCAATTTTCATAACGTTGAAGTTTGTAATGAAGTAGAAAAGTACCATTTCTTTCTTCATGTAACATGAACATGTACATGTCATCCTACTCTCTAGTTGGGTTAGGGTAGTGGAAGAAATATTGTAATATCCGGTAATTAAAATAAGCCAAATAACTAGTCGAAAGACAATTTAAAAAAGACGAAAATACTTATCGAGATTTACAGTGATCCATTGTTGGTTGGTACCTGGTCCCTTACATTATATTTACTAAGATTGCAATAAGTAAATACAAAATAGACTAAGTATAAAAGGAAATGTGTATTATTTTACCTTGTTTAAGGAAATTAAGAACCAGTACTGTAATGCTGGTGTCTGACATCCTATTAGGATGTGTGGTAAACACTGGGCCAAGTTTCCCACGCATAGACCTGCAAGGGCCCAACTTGCAGCTATTTGTACATCAGTCCATGCAGATGAGAACAAAAGACATATGTCTTCCTTCAAGTTTGGAATACAACATGAATTGCTGAAACAAAAATCAATCTCCTCTATGGTTGTTTGCCATCACATTGAACCAAATTACTCTATCTACTGCCGCTCTGAATAAACCTGGGGCCGTCATTCCCGTTCATGTTCATAGGTTCCGCGGCCACGATGTTCTTCTGCGCTCGGCTGAACTTCAATTTTCTATTTTGTCCTGCAGAATAAGCTGCAGCAGGTGGTACTTTCCATTTTGTACGTTTGATAGTTAAGAGGAATTCTAGTTCTCCACCAATGAATTCTAAGATGGTTTCATTAGATATTGTATAATATATCTAATAAAACCATCAGAATTCTTATTCGGATATGAATATTGAGGGAGAGATTACAGATTGTAATCTCTCCCTCAATATCCATGCCTCTTGATTTTTCGATGTTTCATTTTCTTTGACTTGAGTTCTTTGAGTTTGCTATGCTTGACTCTATCGACGGTTTTTTCAGAATCGTCGTCATGCACTTGATGAATAAGGACTTGTATGGAAAATAGAACCTTTAAGGTGCCAAGACTCCTTCTAAAGCCTAATTGTGTATCTCTTATGTTTTCCTCTAGGTTTTTGTATACTCGTGTTTGCATAATGCTAAGTAAAGCTTTCAGAGCGTGGCTCATTAGACAGATTATTCTATGATTGGAGCATTTATTTGTATTGGACGTTTTGAGAATCGGAATAAACGTTGACAGAAGTCATTCAGTCAGTATAAAAACTTACAAATGAGGTAAACAACTTCTAATATATATGTATAATGGTATATGTTTATTATATAATGTAACCTTGTCCAAGAGGATTCAAAGTTCAAAACGTTTTCCAAGCAACCAATATTGGCTGATATCTACCGTAGGACACTAACGTCCTCGCTTCGAGTAGGGATCGGTATGCTCGCTTAAAGTGAATTTTTCTAACATCGACCTCATTTCACACCTTTTTTAAAATTTCCAATATGTAATCTAAGAGTTATTAGACCTTACTATGTGACTAGTTTTAACTACTATTAAAATGTTTTCACTGATTATGTTCTAGTAAGACCGAAAATGTTTTTAAATTTTTATCCTTTTGTATAATTTTAAATTTTATAGTAATCATATATCCATTAGAAGTTGTTTACTTCATTGTTAGCATTTCAATTACTTTTATAAATAAAAACATAACAGTGACAAATAACACTAAAAATTCATGTCGGGATTAAAAAAGAACTGACTGACACAATGCTTGTTAGCAAAAGACAACGACAGGAATATACCATATCATGTACCCTACTCACCATAACTAATATATATCCAAAAAGAAGAATGTATCTTTAAAAAGGAGAATATATGTATCTTTTAAAACGTGAAGGATTTCACCTACTTGGATTCGCTAGCAATGTTCAATAAACAGTAATGAAGAAGTTAAGAGAAGAATACTTACAATTTATTATTTTTACTGGGACTAAGCCACAATTTTACTTTAAAATAAGTTTGTTTTGACGTTTTGATTTCCCCTCTGAAAATAGCTCTCAAAATACAAAACATTATTTAATTAAAGAAAATTTGTTTTTTACTTGGTAAAAAGAATTCTAATAATTTAATGTTATCATATGGACAATTCAATTATATTATACATTTTAAAGTAGGTGACTTAAAATGATATTATCAATATTATAAGTTGCGTTTCTAGAAGAACTTTGTTGGAAAAAATCATAGCATGTGTTTTATCATTAAAAAGACAATCACATGCAATGATGACAGTAAAATTCTCCTGTTAGTGATCCCACAGTAACATGATCCTATCCCGACTTGCAAAGTACTTGGTCTTACATTTAGTTTACTTTCAACACTAACATCAAACTTCGATTTTATGTTATTTTAAATCATAAATATGATATATTTTCTTTCTATTGATTTCCTCTTTAATATGGGTAACCAGATGTTACTGTCTGTCGAGGAGTTTGCGACGCAATTGGTTTCATTTAACATAATAAGAGCCGCTTCTTCGATTTTTTTTACCAACTATTTCTTTCAAGACTATACTTAAATCTTAGTACAGAAATGTACGTTCATTTTCCTAAGCCTCTTCACATATGTGAAATCTATCAAATTCTCTATTTTTAATATTATAAGATTGATGTTCACTTATTCCAACATTTAATGGTCTCGATGTTTCACCCAAATAAAAACGATCGCATTCACAAGGTGTTTTATAAATACAATTATTCGGTCTTTCTTGTTCATTGTTAGATTTTCTTCGTATTACGTCTTGTGAATGTTATAGGATCCCGTTCTAAGTTGTTCTTGTCCATCCCGTCTATTCAGGGATAATCAAGGAATCAAGGAACAAGGATAATCATTTTTAATAAAACAGATGTTAATAAATGTTTCTCCTCTAATAACGAATTTTCGTTATCATGTAAGTATTTAATGATTCCATTTTTTATAAAAAAATTTCAAAAATGGACAGAATCAAACAGATAAACTTAAAACGGATTCCTATAATATTCACAAGACATAATACGAGGAAAATAACAATATCGTACATGAAAGGAGATAAATTCAACATTTCAACAATATTTATAACATCAAATCATTGAGATCTAACAATAAAACATTGAAAGCACTTTCTCAAGTGATCTATTTTTGGTATGCCTTTACACTTTATGGTGTTCAACTGAATAAGTTGAGGGGGGGAGAACTCTTTGTCTCTTTGTCAAGTCGGTCATTCAGAATTATATCTGTATTTTTTAATTTGTTAATTTTCATAGGTTCTAATAGATAGTTTAAGGCCTTTATTTTGAATGTGAAGAATTTAGAATTGGACATTAGAAGACTGATTATGGCCTAGAAAATGAAGTACGTATGTAGAATCTTTTTTTTATTATTGAAAACCCTTTCGTGTTCTGCTATAGGAATGTTAAAAATTCTACCAATTTGACCGAGATAAGTTTTTTGGCAAATTTAAGTTTTATAGACCACTGTGTTAAGTGCTTTTTCTTTTGGTTCTTGTTGTTCTTAATATATTATCTGAAATTGTTGTTTGTTCTGAAAGCTGGTGTTATTCCTTCCTTTTTTATGTGTTTAGCTATTTTTGTTGATATCTTGCCTGTTTTCAGAACAAATAACTTAAATTAAAAACAAGAACCAAGAAAAAGCATTTACACAGTGGTCTATACAAACTCAAATGTGGCGATTGCCCAGAAACTTACATCGGTCAAACTGGTAGAACTTTTAACAAACTTATAGCAGAGCACAAAAGGGATTTCAATAATGAAAAAAACAAATTATGCAAGTATGCAGTTCACTTTCTAGACCAGAGCCATTCTTTTAATGACCAATTCCAATTTTTTCACATTCGAAATAAAGGCCTTAAACTATCTTTGTAGAATCGATGGAAATTAACAAATTAAAAAATATGGATTATAATTCTGAATGACCAATTTGGGACAAAAGTTCTCCCCTCATCAACTTATTCAGTTGTCGAAACAGCTGTAGTGATAATAAATTATAGTAATTTTTTTGTGGAAGTGTTGAACACAGAAGTTTTCAGTGTTTTATTGCTAGATACAATGAATTTCCATCAGTAATGATCGAATCCATCACTTACATTGCGATCTACTTTATCTAAAACTAAACCTAACAATGAACAAGAAAAAACAAAGAAATTGTATTTATAAAGTATCTTGTGAATGAGAACATTTTTCTTCTTCTTCTAGTTCCATGACCGTTATCGATCGTTGGATATCATGTTGGCTACCATATTCGCTATCGTGACTTTATTGACAGCAGCTCTAAATAACGATGTAGTTGATTTTCCATACAATTGCCTTAGATTTTTCAGCCATGATGCTCTTCTTCTACCAGGACCACGATTACCTTGGATCTTTCCCTGAATGATCAGATGTAAAAGATCATATTTTTCAGGGTGTCTCATAATATGATCGAAGTATTCCAGCTTGCGTTTCTTTATTATATTGATCAGTTGTGTTGTTTGGTTCAGCCGTCTAAAGACCTCCTCATTTCTAACTCTGTCGACCCAGCTTATTTTCAGTAGTCGTCTGTATACCCACATCTCAAAGGCTGTCAAGCGTTTAAGCATAGCCTCAGTTAGGGTCCACGCTTCTACTCCATACAGAAGGACAGGAAAGATGTAGCAAGATATCATACGAACTCTAAGGTCAATGCTAAGATCGTGACTGCAAAGCACGTTTCTCATTTTTACAAAGGCAGCTCGGGCTTGTTCTATTCGGCTTTTAATTTCTACGGTTGGATCCCAGCTCTCATTGATATTACTGCCGAGATACATGAGTTTCTCTACTCTGTCCAGTGTGGCATCTCCGACTTTTATACCGTCATCATGTATATAATTTTGTTTGCTAACTATTATATATTTAGTTTTTTTAACGTTGAGTTTTAATCCATACTGATCACAAGTCTGTTTTATTTTGTTCATTAGATTTTGAAGGTCTTCTCCGCAATTGGCAATGACTAAGGTATCGTCGGCATATCTAATATTGTTGACGGTTACTCCATTCACAATAATACCTTCGGTTGTCTCCATTAAGAACATTTTTACTTAGGTGAAACATCAAGATCATTAAATGTTATAATAAGTGAACATTAATTTTATATCCAAAATAGAGAATTTGATAGATCTCAAATATGTATACAAATATGGGACAATTAACAGAATTCAGATGAAATATTGAAGTATAGTTCTGAAAGAAACAGACGGTAAAAAGTAAAAATAAAAGAAGCGCCTTTTATTATGATAAATGAAACCAGTTGCGTCGTAAATTCCTCTACAAAATGCAGTAGGATCTGGTTACCCATATTAAAAGATGAAATCAAGAAAGAAAATGCCAACAACATATCGATAACCAACATCAGTATTTTAAGATAACACACATATAAAATCACAGTTTGATGTTAACATTGTGAGTACACTAAATGTAACACCAAATACTTACCACGTTGAGGTCCTCATAATTTACTACGGGATTACGTATGACGTAAAATTTTACTGACATCATTGCATATGGTTGTCGTTTTAAAGACAAATCACATCCTGTGATTTTTCTGACAGTTTTCGACAGATAAAATTGATTTCATGTAATCGAAAGCGTGGTCCAATAAACTCGTCCCAGGAACGAAACTCAAAAATATTGACAATATCATTTTAAAATCATCTACTTTAAAATGTATAATATATCTTTGAACTGTCGAAATTAATCTCTCAGATAAAATTAAATTAAAAGAATTTTTTATCGCCAAATAATAAACAAAAATTTGTTTATTTGTATTTTGAAAACCCTTTCAGAAGTGGAAATCGAAACGTCAAAATAAACTTATTTTAAAGTATTACTTAGATTTATTAAGGACAACTGGAAAAAGAAAAAGTTGGAATGAAGGAATATATTAAAGCAGGTTAAGCATCATAAAAGTTAGGTTAGGTAAGTCAATGATAAAATACGGAATAAAGGAAGATATTATTATGTCGGATATTTAGGGTGATATATGGAAAATATGGGATTTATAACAAATTAGAGAAGGATAATGAAAGAATAACTTGGATGAAAAATTTAATAAAACATATACAATTAAAAATACTTATTTTTAAAAATACTTAATTTTGTTATATTATTGATATACTTACATTCTGCCAATTTCTCCTATGAACAATAACAGAAATACTTTTTGAAACACCGTTGTCGCACTATGAATTTCACTGATAAATGGTGGAATTATTGGTATCTCAGATTGTGATACGGCAGTAACCAACATGACGGCCATACACTTGGCGAGCGAATGGAATGGCTGCTCGTAAACAAAGCGATTTGTGTTTGACGCGACAGTGGTTACTAGTACCGAAAGTTCGTTCGACAAAATTGTATAAGAAACTTCTGGAAATTTGGATAAAATCAATGCCTTACAAAACTCCAATAAGTAATGTAAGACCGTATCTGAAACAAAATGTTTATTGATAATACTTTAAATCTTGATAATACTTTTAAAGACTGATTTAGAAGATGTGTTTTCTTTTTCAAAATATATCTTTGGACCACAGTATTGAATTCAAACATCCTATATAGATCAGAGAATTAACGATTTTCCCATGACACTCGTTGATACAGGTATCTAACAACTGCTTTTGATAAATTTTACGATAACAATGTGTAATAAACAACATATGCAAACGAATAAACGTCATTGTTTACTTATAAACAATATAAATTATAAAGAGTATATACAAAACAATATATACAGGGTGAGTGGGGAGGAACGCACCAAACTTTAAGACTTTATAATATACGTAAAAATAAGTAAAAATAACTCATATGTTGTTATTCGATTTTCATTTGTTTTCGAGTTATAGCGATAATAACACAAAGTTGTAATTTTACTGCTACTTATCACATTGCTGTAACAGGTATCTGTGATTCGTTTAATAATTAGTTAACTGTCATAATAGTGTAGTGTCAACGTGATTTAATGTCTATTTGACAGTTTGTATAAAAAAAGTTGTTGCAAAATGCCACATACTTATTCAAATAGTGATTATGCAAATATGGTGTTTGTTTATGGCTTTTGTAATGGAAACGGTAGAGCTGCTGTTGAAGAATATCGTCAACGGTTTCCAAATCGGAGAACTCCAGATAAAAATGTATTTATTAGAGTTTTCAACAAACTATGCGAGACCGGAACGCTTCCTAGTTATAAAATAATATCGGAACGTGCTCCCCGACAAAGTTTACAAGAAATACAAAATATTCTGGATTCAGTAGAAGATGATCCAGGGATCAGCTCACGAAGAATCGGTACTCATTTAGCCATTCCTCAAACGAGAGTAAGTAACACACTTCACGAGCAAGGTTTATATCCATACCACCTACAACGTGTACAGCACCTACAACCAGAAGATTATGCCAGCCGTATGCAATTTTGTCGATGGATAAATAATAATCGTCGTGTTATATCCCGCATACTTTTCACCGATGCAGCAACATTCACCAGAGACGGTATTAATAATAGCCGCAACTCACATGTATGGTCACATGAAAATCCACATGCAACAATTGAAGCTAGTTTTCAGCACAAATTTTCGGTAAACGTGTAGTGTGGTGTGATCGACGGTTATTTAATTGGCCCTTTCATATTTGAGAACCGCCTTACAGGAGAGGAGTACTTGAATTTTTTACAGAATGAATTGCCAGGACTCCTACAGAACATTCCACTAAATATCAGAATGCAAATGTATTATCAGCACGATGGAGCTCCTGCACATTTTGCTCGTCAGGTCAGGCAACATTTAAATACAAAATTTCCAAGGCGTTGGATTGGTCGCAATGGTCCTATTAGTTGGCCTCCGAGGTCTCCAGACCTAACACCATTAGACTATTTTTTATGGGGCTGGTTTAAAAATGAAGTTTACAAGGTAAAAGTCGACACTTGCGATGCACTAATTCGACGCATTAAAAATGTTGCAGCCACAATTAGAGCAAACCATGACGCAATCAGAAGAGCAACGTTGAATGTTCATAGACGAAGCAGAAAATGCTTACAGATCAATGGTGGTATTTTTGAAAATTTATTATAAGAACATTTAACATTAAATTAATGTTAAGTTACAACTTTGTGTTATTATCGCTATAACTCGAAAACAAATGAAAATCGAATAACAACATATGAGTTATTTTTACGTATATTATACAGTCTTAAAGTTTAGTGCGTTCACTCACCCTGTATATATATATATATATATATATATATATATATATCATATTATATCCATGAATTGGTTCCAATCTTACTTGTGGAATAGGAAACAACTAGTTAGAGCAATGATATTGGCTTTAGTCACAAAAACATTGTATGTGGAGTACCACAAGGTTGACTATTGGGTCCTGTACTGTTCGTTATCTTTATAAATGACATCACTAACTTAAAAAACGATGGAAACAACTATAACTTCTGATCTATTTAAAATAAAAACCTGGCCCCACTCTAATTTACTCTCTTTTAATGTGGATAAGACAGTAGCATTATCCTATAAAGGAGTTCTTCAACCCTTGCTTCGTAATAACAGCCAGATTAGTATCGTTGATTCTGTAAAATTTCTTGGTATTTTTATAGACAGCAACCTTAAAGGTCCCTTCATATCGATTTGTTAAGTAAGAAACTAGTATCTCCCAACATAACATATTTTTCTTTGTTAGAGTCTCATCTTCGATATGGCCTTCCTTTTTGTGGTTCTAGTACAGCTGCCTAATCTGATGTTATTTTTAAATTACAAAAAAGAGCAATAAATAAAATCTTTTTGGCCTCAGTAGAATAGTAGATTGAACCTATGGTGTGTATTTAACGATTCCGTCCACTGAATCTATCTTATATTCGGCAAAAAACGTTTATGTAATTAAAGTATATATACAGGGTGTCCCGAAAATAGTGCGTTCCTTAAAGAAGGCACCATGTCTAATAACATTTTTTTCTAAATTCAACCGTTTGACCAAAAAACGAAAATACATTTTGGTATGCAAAAAGAAATCCGGCAACTATGTGCAGTACGAAAATCTAAACGTAGACAGTCACAAATTTAATAAACAGATAGCATTAAACTGTGCAGATAGATAGTTTGGAACAATCGTGTTTATACTCCATTCCACGAATATACGACTGTTTTAAATTCGCTTTAAGGTGTCGATTTAAATGGTCCAATGTACTGAATTGTACAATAGTAAATTCTCCCCATTTTTAAAATACTGTTACGACAGATATAAACCTTAGATTTAAATATGAAGTCATGATATAAATATAAAGTTAATAGTTTATAAAACAGTTGTAATTCAGATTTTGAAGTATATAATTACTATCATGGAGTTTATTTTTTCATTTCAATTATTTCATTGTAAACAAGTTGGTTTTTGAATTATGTGATTTAAATGAAATGTAACAATACTTAAGTGATCAAATAGTGTAAATTTTTTAGTCGAATATTCACTTAATATTAAAAAAACAAAAAAACTTACTTATTCACTTATTCTCTTAATCTTCTAAAACTATCATCAACGATCAGATTCACAGCCATAATCAGTCGGCGATATATGAAACTGTATATAAATTTTCGTTACTTTTTAATATCTGTAACGACTCGGTACTTTAACTATCAATAGCCGGTATGTTATACCCGTTACTTTCGGAACTTTTAAGAGAACATAAACTCAAAGCAAACAAATATTTCAAACTAACAAAGTGAAATATTAGATCCTTTTTCTGGTTTGTGAACCATCGTTCTGCCAATGTCTTTTCATTTATATTAAAAATAGTATATTTCTTGTTATTACAGTTATAATACCTAATAAAGTATTATAATAAAATGTGTTATATCAAAGAAACCCGGCACGCCTCTTTGGTGTTTACATTTCACGGAAAGCTTACCCAAATGTCTAATGAACACATTTGGCTTCATAGACGTCATTATATTTATTTGTAGATTTTAACTGAAATAATTTTAGTTTAGATGTCATACTGGTAGACCCTTTTTATTGGAATAATAATTAGACCAATTGACCTTCATACTTCTACTTGCACAGTAAAATATTCGTTGTCGCAGTAAACCAAAACAGTCGTATATTCGTGGAATAGCCTATATATAAAAAGAACTCATGGAAATATTATTCCTAACAAACCCGAGCTTTCGCTTTGTCTATTAATAATAATGCGAAATAAGTACAATTTTACAAAATAAATATTTATTTTAAATTGTTTAAACAAATTACTTGGTTAAATAAACAATTTATAACTTACCTAATTGAATTTTTTAATTTATGCAACGAGGTCCCCAAAAGATAGTAAAATGCAGTGCGCAAGACCAAAAGGAAGGCCACGAAAAAGGTGTGGAATGAAGTGGCAGCGGACGCGCAAAATTTGCTAGACGTGAGAACCTGGGGAAGATCGGAGCGGAACCGGCAAGGTTAGAGGCATAGTTTAGAGGGGCCAGGACTTGATTTGGGCTGTAGCGCCATTGTAGAGATATAGAGAGAATTGGACTGAATCGGAGATATTGCGACTTTTATAAATTTGAATTTATGAAATTAGTTTTTGAAATAGTAAAATCGATAAATAAAAAAAGGCTAACTCTTATTCTAAGGGTCGTAGGATATTGTATGTGTTTAAATAAATGCCAACCTTTCGAACAAAAAAAATTTACTTCTTATACTTATAAGCTTAAAGTCTATCATAGTATATAAAACCTACTTTACAGTATTTAACATAAATTTTTAATTGTTAAATGACTTAAAATGTTAATGATAAAATAATCTTTTTTCTTCACTTTGGTGGTTTCAGAATTCATGTAGACTAGTATGCCCAATAGTTTATGCATAATAAAGTTGTAGATAAAAGCTTTCTGGAATAGACAATTTCAATTTTGCAATAACTGTAATTAGCTTCTTGAAATTTTTATAGCTGAATATATGATATTGTCCCTATTATCACGCGAAATTAAAGTTTTTTGTTCGACTGCAAAAAATCGACTGCAATAATTAAACAACAACAAATTAACAAAAATAACATTACAAACTCTCATTTAAAGGATTTTCCATATAATTTAACGGACTTCCTTTACCTTAAAGTAATTAAAATCAAATAGCAATCTTACATTGTTTATAAGTAAAAAATGACGTTTAATCTTCAACACCTTTTATTTATTACACATTGTTATCACAAAATGTATCAAAAACAGTTGTTTTTATTTGCTAATTGCTCTGGTGTAATAACCTTTTTCCTTCTTACTATCCTTTCTTCTATTTCCTTTCCAGTCCGGCCACTATGGTTAGTTGTGCAAAATAATTGTACTTTAAACTTTGACTTTAATTCTTATTGATATAGTTAAAATTGCATAACGATATGGCAGTTTTTCATCTACCATTATTCAGTATGTGGAACAAAGATTACACTTGATTGTTTAAATAGATGTGAGAGGCAGTTACCATGTAGAAGTAGTAGGTATGACTTTTAAACAGTGTTGCTATATTTCTGTTACATCTTTCCTTCTAAAATTTTAGTTGGGTGCACGAGGGTTAGATAATATTTAAATCCACTACAGTTCAGAGTAGAATGAAAATTAACATTGTCCCAGAAAAACATAAATTAAGTTTAAAAAGTTCTTTATAAAAGGTATACTTAATATTAAAAAACCCTATCCGGATACATCACAAAACGTTTTCGGAATTAATATTCCATCATTAGTCCTATCTGGATGCCACTAAAAGCGTCACTTTTCTAAAGGGTTTTTACCCATGTATTTAGTGGCTCGAAACATGTACATACTGATGAAGAAATATTAATTCCGAAAATGTTCTCTGATGTAACCCGATAGGGTTTAATATTATACCTTGTATAAATGAATTTTTATATAAATTTTTTGTGATACACAGCCAGCTACAGGAATTTAGTTTCCTTGTGATGAATAAAGTAGCCATGTAATTGTTTTCTAATCGATTCTATCAATTACTTAATTAACAAAGAACATTGATTTACTCGTGGCAACGATGCATATTTCCTTGAGGAGTTGTAAAATTTTAAGCAACGCGTGCCTTCACAGTGTGGGGCGCCTAGATACGTCCGGCTATCCCGCATTTAACTTTCCGTCGGTAAACCTTAAGCAAAACTCGAACACATATTCGAGTTTTAAATGCAATTCTTATTGTAGCTTCCAAATAAAACAATAATTATTAACAAAACATAAATATTATTTTTATAAGAAAAAAACCAACTAAAAAGATTATTCTAAATAATTAAAGGTGCTAAATCGATCTAGGAGGCCATTTTATTATTAATCGTTTAGAGATTAATTGTCCACGGCATTTTTGTTCCAAATAATTTGTAACTTCGATTTCATTGTGCGCTGGGTAACCATCCTGCTAAAACCAGACATCGTCAAAGTTGACCGCAAGGTTTTGAACTGATGGAACAATCTAATCGCGCGATAAATCTACGTCCATTCCGATTTCCCGTAATAAAAAATGGATAAATTATATTATCGTTATAAAGTCCAGTCCACACAATGAATTTCTTTGGATATTGTGTTTTCACGGAAATTTTGCTTTTTTCACAAAGTTTATTTTTCCTAGACTAATAGCGGAAGACAGATGGATTATGGCGTTTATGGATTATGAATGAAGATTGATGGGAAAACAAAACATTTTTTAAAACGTTGTTTCTCATTCCATTTCTCCATCATAGTTTTACAAAATTCCATACATTTAAAACGGATTAGTTTAAAATGGGTGTTTTGCACTTTATAGCAATTACATCAGTTTCGTTTTAAAATATTCTTTACAGTTCTCTTCTTTAGGTCAATTTCATCCGCAATTTGTTTACTTGAACAAGACGTTTCTTCAGCAGTTAAACATACTTGAATATTGCAAACTTCGCGTTTAACAGGTGATTTGTTTCATCGTAGTTAATCCGTTGGACAACATTTCATACAGGTATTTATGCAACCGAAATTTTCGAAGTTTTTAATAATCCATCGAACTTTTTCTCTGTTTGAATTGAGTGATTTTAAAAAACAGCAATAAATAAAACTATTATTTCTATAGAATGGTTCCCATAATACCATTTCAGCATTTAAATCTTTTCTTCTCGAAAATATACGGTTGGTATGATAATTATTTGTTTTCAATCTTTTACCACCACAGCTAAAAATCAAATAGGTAGACCATAGACCTGCTGTACAGATGCACCGCCTACTATTTTGAGGGAAAATCATGCACTTGTAGAGGGAGAATCTGTCGCGTTTATACTATCTGTCTGTCTAATGAAGTGCATTATTGATTTAGCTCACGGTGTTGTCACATATCAATTCCTCAATTCAGTGTTCTTTAATTTATCATTAATCGGTATTCAGTAATCGTTTAAAAAATAACAGTTAGATGATTACTTCATGTAAGTTGTGTTGGGGCAATATTAATTTTCATTTACAATAATCTGTAGTGGAATTAACTATTATTTTACACTGATGTATCCGACTAGTATTTTAGAAGGAACGATGTAACAGATATTTAGAAACACTGTGATTTAGCAACACATTAAGTGTTATCTTTGTTTCACATACTGAATAACTTTGAATATTGCAAAATTGCTATATCGGTAGGTTGTATCTCTTTATATGCTGTTTCTCTACACACTATGCCACGCCTTTATTATGTTTGGCAAATAGTAACTTCTTTCATTGCTTAGGTATATGTTTTTTGATCCACACTCTATGTGTTATCTCAAATATTTCCTCTTGCAGCCTTTTGTCACCAGGTGCTTTATAGTTCTGCAAGTTTTTTATTAGTTACAATTTCTTCCATTCCTTGTTAGGTGCTTCTTCATTACCGTTTTGCTCTATTGCTACTTAATCTGTTAAATGGAAATGTGTAGTGTATAATATGATAAAACCCCCACCTTTACTTACGACAAAAATGAAAATGATTATAAGTTGAAAATGAACTAAACTTACCTTGCAAATATGGCGATATCAATAGAGATAAAACTTGTGGCATAATAGTATCTAGGTTGATCAGTAAAATTTGAGGATAATGCTCAGCACAAACTTTTAAAATGATGAACCCCCATTGAGGAATCTGAATATTCGAGTCATCAAGCAACTGTGGTATTTCTACCAAAATCTGTTGCAACAAATCTCCTTGTAATGCAAACAATATTCGGTAATTGTTAATTAAAGAATTTATCAACTGAAGCGTGTTCAGTATTAAAACTCTATTTTTTTTTCTTAAAAATGATCCTAAGATCAGCATTACATCGGGTAATATCGGTAGTTCAATATCTAAAAATTTAGTAACAGTAAATGAATTTTACAACTTTTATTGCATAAAGGAATAGTAGTAATAGTAGTTTTAGTATAATAAATATCATGTATTTATATTCTGTAGTTTATAGTAAAAAATAAGTGAACTCAAACAAAAATCACAAATACAATAAATATCTCAAAAGATTATATCTGTACAATAGCCATAATAACCTTGTGAACTATGTCTTCTCCAAACCAACCATCTCCCATATTATCAATACGTTCCAGAAAGTATGCTTGAGAATGACAACTACAAGGTATATTGGGACAGAACTGTGCTCACAGACCAACCAGTGACACTTAATAGACCAGATCTCATACTGTAGTGGAAATCACATTCAAATAGCAGTCTACAGATATAGGATAACAGCGTTGCCAATTCTACTGCCACTGTAAATTCTGCTACTTTTGTTTAATAAGCAGGGCCAAAATCAGGTTAGGTTAATTAAAATTTTTAATAGAATATTCGTGAATGAATTAAATGGTTTTATACATAATAAAGATAATTTTTTGCTTAGCTACAGCTATTAAATTATATGAACTACATTAATAATTTTAAGTACATACATAGTTAGCTGTAGTAATTATTAATAAATATTTAACGAAAGTGGTTTAACAGAATAGCCAAGAAATACAATTTTCATCTTCAGAGTTATCGTTAATAAAATTGTAATAGGTTCAATGTGCATAATCTCTACTGTCCAAAAATGGCTCTCCAATTTTATAAAATGGTTGCGATATTTTTTCCTATGTCCATTGTTCTGTACTTTTTCATAACCTTTATAAATCAATGTTTTAACGGCGTTTTGTTTGAAACTTGAATTCCTAGAGGACACCTACCATTTCCCTTCACTCCACACCATATCTATTGGGTTCAATTCACAGCGATAAGGCGGAATCCTTAAGATGTGGATATCTACGCGGTATTGTTCGTCACTGTGATTCCTGTATTTTTCATAAAACCACTATTGACATTTCACTCAATATTGTTTGGGAACATTTAGTTTCTTAGAATGATAAGATGCATTGTCCATTGCAATCCCATTCTTTTTATTTTTTTTTACTGCAAACCATTTCTTAAGTAGATCTCCGTCCATGGTAATCTTTGTTTTTAAACCTGTGGTAAGTCCATTTACGAAAGCCTGCCGTCTATTTTTTATTGTTGTAACTTGTCATACTTGTCCATTGTTAGTTCCAGTGGGTAGACCCACCATTCTTCCATATAAATATGTATTGGCTCCGTGATTCCTCAGTTTCAGTATTTCAGTGAGAAAGTGGAGCCTCTAAGCGACTATTTCTTGTGCTTCTATTAATATTGAATTTCTACTGAAAACCGTGCGCTACTTGTCTTATTATAAAGCGAGTTACTTCATCTTATTTATTCTCACGGCTATTCTAATAACCGGTTTTTTTTTCTTATGGGAGTTACGAGTGGCCAATTTTTATTTTCATCTCTATATCGAAATATTATTCGTTTAGAGACTCCAGTCATAGCAGAAACTTCCCTATTTGATTCCTTCCTATTTAACAAATAACCATTTTTTAAATTATATTATACTTGCGGCCATTTTGACATTAACACGACCCAAACGTCTGACATCAACTGAATGAATATTTTATCTACCTGAATTTATAATTGCTCATATTAAAAAATAATTTTAAATTAATAATTATATTTTCTTAATTCTAAATTATTTTCTAATGTCGCTAATTGTATATCCAAAAGACCAGATTCCCGAAATATAACTTTCTATTTTTAATGTAAAAACAGAAAAATTCATAAAAGTGCGATATTTTCCATTTTACATTCACGCATATTTCTCAAATTATATTTTTTTGTAGGAGCCGGCCCATAACCTACGATTAAAAACACTGACAATATTGTAGTTATTTCTGACATATAGAAAGCATAGGCCTCTGTAAAGCTGTAATCTGAATGCAAATTTCACTATATTTAATACATTAAATAGACAAGCAACACTAATTGATGCATAACCATGATTAGGCGATACCTAACAACAATAATATGTGTGTTAAAAACAATGAAAATATCGCCAAGTACAGATATTCCAGGGTTACAGGAATGTAAGGGATAGTGATGCGCAATACACAGCCTCTCCTATTCAAATGTCAACCTCACCTGCCCGTGAGATGATCGAGATCATGATCATCTGGTACATTCTGCTAGATAACAAACGAGGCTCTGGCGTCCGAATGATTGCCGGTATAAGTAATCCCCCAGTTACTGACCAACAGCTTCGGGTAGAAGAGTCGGTAAGTGGAAGGGCACCTTCTTGTCCTAGAAATGGAAAATCATTTCTAAATGGCGGACGATCCAGACATGGTCAACGGCGTAGAGATGCATAAAGCAACGGGAAACCAATGCATTAAATTCTCATAGAGCATCCCTAGTTAATCATCATAACTAACAATTCAAACAAACACTCTACTGAACAAACTCACAAGACTGCAAGGCCTCCCCAGTCGTCAATAGGCGAAAACCTTGCAAAGTAGCGACTTGGAATCTTAGAAGTCTATATGAAGCTGTAAAAGTACATAATGCCGATAAAGAAATGGAAAGGCTAAATATAGATATTTTAGGAATCAGCGATGTCCAATGGCCCGACTCAGGGAAGATAAAAATCAACAATAAATCAATATATTATTCAGGAAGTCAAGACGGTTCACACATATATGGTGTCGGGATAATATTAAACAAAAACATTGATGAAGCTGTAATAAATTTTACACCATACTCCAACAGAATTATACTCTTACAATTAAACCAGAACAAACCCAAAATAAACATCCTACAAGTTTTTGCTCCAACTGCGGACAAACCAGAGAACGATATTGAAACTTTCTACGAAGACCTAGACAACATTTTACAATCCATTAAAACGCAAGATGTAACAATTATAACGAGAGACTTTAACGCAAATGTTGGGAAAGAAAAAGTAGAACAATGTACAGGAGAATATGGTCTGGGCAACAGAAACGAAAGGGGTGACAGACTTATCGAATTTGGCCAAAACAATAATTTTGTTATAGCTAATACATTGTTCAAAATGCCAAAGAGAAGACTATATAACTGGAAGTCACTAGCAGATCAAGAAGAGAAAATTGTAAGAAACCAAATAAACTATGTATTAGTTAGACAAAGATACAGGAACGCAATTATATCCGCAAAAACCTATCCAAGTGCCGACATAGAATCAGATCACAACCCAGTAGTCACCAAAATTAGGCTAAAAATGAAAATAATAAAACGAAGAACAACAAATGCAAAAATCGATACAAGTAAATTAAGAAACCCACACATAAGGCAACCCCTGGCAGATGAAATCAACAACGGATTAATTAATGTTAAAGAACAAATTCTGCAAAATACTGAGACGGATAAAAAATGGTTATTAATAAAGAGATAATAAACTAAGTGTTAGAACATTTTATAATAAATTAAATTAATAAAAACAGTTCAGTAGACTTATTTAACTCAGTATACAAAACAGGACACGTACCGAAACAATGGTTACTCTCCACCTTTTATGCTATCCCTAAAAATACAAACGCTATGCAGTGAATACAGAACAATATAACTAATAAGTCACATTCTCAAATTATTCATGAAAATAGTACATGGCCGTATAAATAAAAAACTGGAAGAAGGAATAGATGATAGTCAGTTTGGGTTCAGAAACGGACTAGGAACCAGAGAAGCGTTATTTGCTTTTAATGTGTTAGCTCAAAGATGCATGGATATGAATGTTAATGTGCATATTGTTATGATGCGCTGATTTTGAAAAAGCATCTGACAAAGTAAGACATGAAAAATTAGTCCTAATTCTAAAGACAAAAAACATAGACCATAGGGACTTACGAATAATAACAAACCTCTTCTTCTTACGGTGCCTTATGCTTAAGGACGTTGGCCATTACATTTGCCCATTTAATCTTATTTGTACCAGCACTGAATAGTTCTATGCAGGTCATGTTCGTCCATTGCCGTAGGTTTTTAAGCCAAGAGTTGCGTCTTCTTCCTGGTTCTCTTTTGCTATTGACTTTGCCTTCGATTATAAGTTGGAGCAGTTCATACTTTTGATTTCTTATGATGTGACCAAAATATTGTGTTTTCCGTTCTTTTATTATAAGCATAAGCTCTCTTTCCTTATTCATCCTCCGCAAGACTTCCGCATTTGTCGTATGGCTCATGCAGGATATTCTGAGCATTTGACGGTAACACCAGAGTTCGAATGCTTGGATTCTTTTTTGTGTTGCTTCTGTCATTGTCCAGGCTTCAACACCATAGAGCAAGGTGGAGAAAATATAGCACTTAAGTATTCTAGTTCTCAATGAGATGCCCAGCTGGCGGTTGCATAAAACTTTTTGCATTTTGTAAAACATTGTCGTGCCTTTTCCAGGCGTATTCTTATCTCTAGTGAGTGGTCCCAAGTTTCATCAAGATTACTTCCAAGGTACGTTGTTCTTGTTACTCTTTCCAGATCTGTTCCGTCGACATTGACCTTCATCCTTCTGTTTTGGTGCTTGCTGATGACCATCGTTTTTGTCTTCTTTGTATTCAATTTCATTCCAAATTCTCTACAGGCTGTCGTTACTCGGTCCATTAAGCGTTGCAGGGCTTCAACATTATCTGCCAGTATGACAGTGTCATAAGCATATCGCAGGTTATTTATACATTGCCCGTTTATAATTATACCATCCGTGGTGCCTTCCAAAGCTTTCTGAAATATCTTCTCAGAGTAAACATTGAACAGCAAAGGTGATAGGACACATCCCTGTCTTACTCCCTCCTCGATATTGATTTTTCCAGATGTTTCGCTTTTTATTCTGATTTTAGCCTTTTGTTCTTGGTAGAGGTTTGAAATGATCCTTACAAATGAACAAACCTCTACTGGAATCAAAGAGCACAAATCATAATAAATAACGAACCCAGTCCACAAATTGAAATCAATAGAGGAGGGGTTGATCAATAGATACCGATAGAAAGGGTTGATAAATACAAATACCTAATAACCTGGATTTCAGACAATAATGATCAAACAACCGAAATAAGAGCCAGGATAGAAATAGCAAGAAATGCGTTTGTAAAAATGAAAACAATTCTCTGCAACAAAGATCTTAGATTAGAACTGAGAGTAAGAGCACTGAGATGCTACGTGTTTTCGATACTGCAATATGGACTTGAAAGCTGGACATTAAAGCAAGAACACATAAATAAGTTACAGTAAAACTAACACGGAAGTATTGCGAGAAATGGGCAAAGAATGCGAAATAATAAACACAATAAAAATAAGAAAGTTACAACATCTGGGACAAATAATGAGGGGACAGCGATATGAACTGCTAAGGCTGATAATACAGGGAAAGATAAGAGGAGGAAGAAGTATAGGAAGAAGGAGAATGTCATGGTTGAAGAATTTAAGGGACTGGCTTAAATGCCGTTCTATAGAACTTCTCAGAGCAGCAGTAGATAGAGTAAAGATAGTGATGATGATATACAACCTTCGATTGGCAGACGGCACTTAAAGAAGACAGAGACTCCGAAATACAAATAAGAAGAGAGTGAAGAATGGAAAAAAACCCAGAGAGTAACTCTTACTCTCTCTGCTACCGGTGCTATCCAAGCAGACCAATGGTGAAAACACAAAAAAAAGGCTGTGGATGGAAAAATTGTTAAAAGTTAAAGTAAAGTAAAAAAGTTAAACAGTAAAGACAGCGCTAAACCATTTGGACAACTAAAAGCTCAACAACGAAAATGATCTCCATATTATTTTCCATACGTGACGTCATGACATGAAAATCATTGCTGGGGACCTTAATGCAAAAATTGGCAAAGAGCAATTTTTCCAGCCAACTATAGGACATGAGAGCTTACATGAAGAGTCAAATGATAACGGGTTGAGACTAATAAACTTTGCAAGTACTAAAAACATGATAGTAGGAGGAATAAGATTTCCCCATAAAATGATACACAAAGGAACATGGAAATCCCCTGATAACGAAACCATTAACCAGAGATATAACATCCTGATAGATGCAAGGCACTCTTCCGATCTCGTAGACGTCAGAAGCTACCGAGGCCCAAACATTGACAGTGACCACTTTCTTGTAATGGCAAAAATCCGAGGAAGAATATCAAACCTAAAGAAAGATAAACACACGAAACAAGACAGAATTAATGTTGATAATCTGCGCATTGAAACCGTTGCGAGAGAGTATAGGAGACAAATGGACGAGGAAATGGAGAGCCTGGAGGTGGGGAAAATGTAGAGGAACTGTGGACAAAATGTAAAAACATAATAACTGAGAAAGCAACAAAAATATTGCGGAAAACCAAACCAGTTAAAGAAAACGAATGGTTTGACAAGGAGTGTCAAGAAGCAACAGATAACAAAAACAGGGCATACCTAAAGACAAATCAAGTTGGATGCACAAGAAGAGCAAAGGAAGAATACCGGACCCTAAGAAGAGAAGAAAAACGATTATATAGAAGAAAAAAAAAGACAATTTGAGCAAAAGCAGTTGGAAAGCACAGAATGGCTAAGAAATCAAAATGAAACTCGAAAGTTCTACAGAAATCTAAACAAAATGCGCAAAGAGTTTAAGCCAAGAATAAGGAGCTGTAAGGAAACATCCTAAATGATATGGCCTCAATCCTAAACAGATGGGTTGAATTTTTCGATGCAAAATTTAATGGCCATCATATCGAAGAAGCAGATAACACCCTAGCAAATCGAAATGATTGGAATCCTTTCAATCCAAACGAAAGACCACCTACCATCGAAAAACGTTGCCCAAGCCATTGAAAAGCTTAAAAATAATAAATCACCAGGAATTAATCAAATTTGCAGTGAGCTCTACAAGAATGGTGGCGATGCCCTACTACAGACACTGCATAAGCTTTTACTTCTTGTTTGGCATAATGAGACCATTCCTTGTGAAAGATCTCAAGGTGTGATATGCCCGTTACATAAAAAAGGTGACCAGCTCCAGTGTGACAACTTTAGAGGTATAACCCTGTTAACAACTGCTTACAAAATACCAGCAAATATTCTCTACAAAAGGCTGCAAGTTTACACAGTGGGCATAGTTGGTAAATATCAAGCTGGATTCACTCCAGAAAAATCAACATTGACCAGATTCATTCAATAAGACAGATTCTCGAGAAAACATTAGAATTCAATATTGAAACCCATCACCTATTCGTCGACTTCAAGGCCGCATACGACAGTGTCAAGAGAACAGTGCTATACCAATCAATGCATGAGTTTGGTATACCAGAGAAACTTATCCGACTAAAGAGAATGACAATGTCTAACTTAGAAGACACTGTTAGAATACAGGGAGAGAATTCTAGATCCTTTGAGATAAAGAATGGACTCAGACAAAGGGATGCTCTGGCTTGCCTCCTATTTAATATTGTCTTAGAAAAGGCAGTCCGAGATACACGAATTAGGGATGGCGGTACTATTTAAAATAGATCGATAAAAGTCTTAGCATATGCTGATGACATTGACATAATAGGGCGCAGCAAGCGAGATGTTGAGCAATATCTCCTAGAATTGGAAACAGCGGCGAAACAGGTCGGTCTAGTCATCAACGAAGACAAAACCAAGTACATGTTGGTTACAAAGGATCCGATAGCAAATGAGGAACGAGAAACGAGAACGAGGCTTTGGAAGTCATACCTTTGGACGTGTTGACATACCTCAATGTCATAACTTCACATACCTTGGGTCGCTATTGACTGCTACCAATAAAACAAGCGAGAAAATCAAAAGACGAATAAATCTTAAAAATAGGGCATACTATGGACTCCAAAAGCATTTCCACTCAAGAAACATTCAAAGAAGAACTAAAATTATTATATACAAAACATTGCTGAGGCCGGTCCTCACATATGGAGCAGAAACATGGACTCTAACGCAGAAAGATGAAAGACTTTTGGGAATATTTGAGCGTAAAATACTCCGCAAATTATTTGGAGCTAGAAACGACCAAGGGCAGTGGCGCAGAAGATATAATTTTGAATTGTATCAGCTCTTTGATGAGCTAGATGTCGTAACGTTCATTAAAACACAGCAACTTAGATCGGCTGGACACATAATACGAATGCCAGAAAATATGATTGCTAAAAAGCTAACCACAGGAACACCTGTAGGAAGAAAAAGCAAAGGTCGACCGCGAATTAGGTGGTTAGATGAAGGTTGAGACCGACTTAGGGATACTAGAGATCAGAATATGGCAAAATGTTGCCAGAAACCGAACAGAATGGCGACTAATCTTAGAGCAGGCCAGGATCTACAGAGGATTGTCGAACAAATATGATGATGAATGATTATTTTTCATAAACTTACAATTACAATTTACAATAGGATACAAAAATCTTGTTAGGTTGTAAGGCAGATTAGGACCCTACAATAAAATTAACATTATAAATAAAACGTTTAAGCCAATCCATTTCTACACAAACTCCGGAGATCATTTCTGTCATGTTGGGTCCATTTTTCCATATAATGGGAGCTGTAGGGCTTTACACGAGCCATCAGAGAATAAAATTCATTCAAATTCATAAAATTTAACAGGAATTTATAGTAACATCATAAATTAAATTAGGTATACCGAATGGATGATGATTTCTGATCATGTAGCACCCAAATATAGGGTCAAAATTCATTTAGAAATGAACATTTGCCCACGAGAAAAATGGGCAGAAGAAACATTAAACTCAAATTACAGGGTTATATCTCGTACACAGACAAGTCTAAAACTGCACCGCAATTATACAAAAATTGATTAAAATATACTTACTTATTGGTCCCACAGCTATTTGTAATAAAGCTTGGACGGTTGTTAACGCAGTCACATCATTTCTCAGTCTATCTACGAATACAGGTAGGCAGTTCGGTAGCTCAGGTTCCAAGTAATCACCAAAGTTAGAAATTATTTGGCCCATTGTTGAGATCGCGTTTTCCTTAATTTTTTCATCTATATGTACAGGTATTAAACGCTCTAATGTACAAGTATAAATATCTTTGATAAATGGCGTGAAATCGAAGCCATAATCAACATAAACAGGTCGTATTACTTTTACTAATTCTTTTAATACCCTTAAAGCTTCCGCAGCGATTTTATAAAAACTATGCCCAACGGCACTAATAATTGCAGGTACTAAAGTATCAAGAAACGGGTAAAAATATTGATCATCGTATGTATTCAGTAAAAAATACATAAATGACAATACCTCCGCCTTGAATTTTCTATCAACATCAGTTTGAGTTAGGTTGTCCACGATGGCACCTGTTATGTTCCCAAGATGTGTACTTAATACTCCTGGAAAAGTTGTACACAGTTCCTTAAGCAAATCTAACCAATTCTCTTTAGCTTTGATGTTTTGTTTACGCAATTCATCCTGTGCACCGTTAATTAAAATGTCTGTGTGTTCTTTGATAGGTACGATAGAAAACTCTTCTCCATTATCCCTTACCATAGCACCTGGATGTATGTTTTTGCTTACTACAGATTTAATTTGCTTGAGAATAGCCATGTACGCATGGAAAATATCACCGTGCACGTATTGATTTCGTTCTATAAAGAAAAAATATAATTATTAAAAAAAGAGTGTGACACTGTGTTATTACTATATGAGGGTGTTAAAGCCAAAGTGGTGTAAGTCATATTTTTGAAATTTTGGTGTAAGTCTTGCTTTATAATCTTGAGATACAGATCTCTTAAGAATAAGTGGTATACCTTCTAATTTTATCTATAGCCTGATAGATGGCAGTAAAAATTACTAACTAATGAATGAGTAATTAAGTAATTAATGAATGAATAGCTGTTTTTATTAACAGACATTGTGGTGCAAGTCAGATCACTATTCCTGCAACTGTTTGTGAGAAGTGTGGTGTACTTGTAAATCAACCACAGCTACATTGTATTTTGTTGAAGATGGATCCTCAGTCTGATGAAGATACAAATAGCGGACCAAGTATATTTCAAAATGCAGGATGTAGTGATGATTATGTTCCTTCACAATCTGAAATTTCTTACTCTTCAGGTAAGGTTAAACTTTTTGCGTACAATTTAATACATATTTTTTACTGTATTCTTCTTATTGTGTTGTCATTATTATTATTATGATTATTATTGAATCACACAATACCAAGTTTTTGAACCATTAGGCCTACACAAATAATTTCACTTAATAAACTATGAAAAATAAGGATACAATATAATATTTAAATAAGCCTAACCTAAAAATGTATTTGCATAACAATCTAATAACCTTGTTTGGTTACAGAAGGAGAAGATGTTAAAACACGAAATGAATTTCCAAAACGAAGTAAAAAGAGGCAAAAACATGAGAGTAAAAAGCAAGAAAGGAAGATGACAATAAATTCTGGCATGGCATATGAATCTAACAGAGAAAAACTAGTTCCTAAGAAGATATTCAGTAACGCAAACTGTAACTGCAGGTTGAAATGTGCAGAAAAGGTATCAGAAGAGTCGCGCGAGAATGTGTTTATAACATTTTGGAACTTAAGGTCATTTTCTTGTCAGAATGTATTTTTATATGGGTTGATTAAACAAATGACGCCTAAACTTAGGCGACCTAGAACGGGATCAAGATTGCCTAAGTCAACATGCAACCAATTTTAAATTCAAGTTGGTGGAACTACTGTTAAAATATGCAAAAAGTATTTCCTTCACACTTTCCAAATTTCAGATGGCCGGATGACGAAAGCACTTAAACAATTAAAAATAGGAGATCAACCAGCATCAGACAAACGGGGAAGTGGAATACCCATAAATAAAATGTAAACATATTTCATCATTCCCCTCATACCAGTCTCATTATACTAGAGCTCAAAATCCAAATAGAAAATATTTACCTCCTAACCTTAATATACGTCTTATGTATAACTTATTTTACCTGTTAAAGAGCCAATTCACCGTAGATGCTTCAACAATGGCTTCAACTTGCACTTTCATGCGAAATGTCCATTTTAGAAGATGGGACAGCAAGACACAACTTTTAAGTACAACATGAACTTCATCTCCGAAAGGCAGCGGCTGCTCGAACATCTATGAAATTAGATGCAGAAAAGTCAAAGCAAGATCAATTGTTTTATGCCTTCACTTTTTACTTGCAGAAAGCTCTACCGTTTCCTGTTCTCACCACTTCTGTGGCTTATTACAAAAGAAACATGTACGTCTACAATCTATGATGTCATGATATCAATATGTACACATGGGATGAGACAATTGCGTCACGTGGTTAGCAAGAAGTAAGTTCTTGTTCTTTGAATTGTATCTTATGAGATGGCTTCAAAGCAGTGATAAGACCAAAATTATTGACCATAAATTTATAGTAAGTGGTCACTCTTATCTTCCTAATAATTCTTTTTTTAGGTTAAATTTGCAACAAATTGAGTTTCTTCAAATGCAGTAACGTAAGTCACTTTAACCGTATAAATTGCAACAAGAGAACTACATACATGATTTTCAATGATTATCCCATTTAGACAAAGATATTTTCCTGCAATGTACCGGGTGGTCCAATAAGCCGATCTCTCGGCTATATATCAGAAACTATTCATGTTATAACTTTAGGAGAAAAAATTCCTTAGTAAAAGTGGCCAAGAGAAATCGGTCCAGATATGAATAAAAACGCATAAACATAAGTAAGTATAGTATTGACGCGCCCTGTATTATAAATTAAATTAAAAAATAAGTCAGTAGGTACTTTCAAATTTTTTTATAGCAAAAGAATCTTAATGTTGATACCTATTTTGACCATTGTTATTTTATATGATTAAAAATAGTTTTTTCGAAAGTGTTATATTATAATCCGAATTGAAGATTGCACTTTTTTCAATAGATATTAATATTGGTAATATTAGTAATTAATTATGAGTACTAATAATCCGTGATGAGTATATCAAATACAGAATTGTATGATATGATTGGAGTTTATTTCGAATATCACCAAAATGCCGATATTGCCTCACGTATATATTCTGTAAGATATCCTGACAGGAGACATAATGGCAAAGAAGTATTTGAAAGAAAGGTAAGAAGATTAAGAGAAACTGGTAGTTTTCATCGTCATTGTTTTAAACGATGAAGTAGAGGTGTGACCGAAGATAATTTAATCAATGTTTTTGCTTTAATTCAACAGAATCCACATATAAGTAGTCGGCAAACCTCTATAGAATTAAACATACCCAAAACTACTGTTCTAAGGATTTTAAAACATCACAGGTTGGTTTTTCATATTATAAAGTGAACGTTTAGGTCAGAAACTTGGAATTCCCTTTAAACTTTAGATTCCACTCTTATTTTAATATTCCGATAAAAGCTGCAACACGGCGCCTTTATCCTTTTATCCGTTTCTTAAAAATACTTATGCACGATTTATCTTGTGAAACAATTGTAGATTTTGCAAGATTTTTTTAAGTTTTAGTAAATATAGTGGTTTTTTTTTCACCAATATTTGTTGTTCTGTTTTCTAGACTGCATCCTTATCATGTAGTTCTCCACCAAGCTTTACATGAGTGAGATTTTGATGCAAGGCTGGATTACTGCAATTGGATGTTAGGTCTGCTAGAAGCACAATCGCGTATCATGTCAAAGATTTTGTGAACAGACGAGGCTACGTTTAATAGTGCGGGTGGTGTTAATCTGCATAATATGCATTATTGAGCTAAAAAAAAATCTGCATTGGATACATGAGGTGCAGGTTCAAGGTAGATGGAGTCTTAATGTTTGGTGTGGTATAGTTGATGGAAAGATCGTAATTCCAGATTTCTTTGATAGAACTTTAAATGTCGAAAAATATTTGGATTTTCTGGAAAATCAGTTGCCTGTTTTATTGGAAGATATTTCCTTACAAACAAGAAGATAAATGATATTACAACATGACGGGTGTCCTGCGCACTTTTCCAGACGAGTTCGAGATTATTTGTATGCAAGTTATCCAAATAAATGGATTGTAAGGGGAATCTCCAGACTTAACATATCTGGACTTTTATCTGTGGGGAAGATTGGAGGACTCAGTGTACCAAACTTGACCAACCACGCGAATCGAGATGAAACAGCGCATTATAAAGACAATAAATAGTATATCAACAGCTGAGATTGAAGCAGCTGTTATGTCTACGCGCGAAAAATTACATCTTTGTGTGGACAATGATGGAAAACAATTTAAACATTTAATTGGACATTAAGTTTTAATGATCGAGATGTTTGTATGATTTTCACATATTTAATTTTAAGTTATAATAAAGGGTGAGTCAATACTATACTTATTTATGTTTATGCGTTTTTATTCATATCTTGAGTTCTACAAAAGCTATCAACATACGATTTGCGCCGTTTTGTTACGACTTTAATCCAGTTCCATTATAATTTACAATAAATAGGTGTTTTTATTAAAAATTTTGAAGAAAAATAAATTTTAATTTTTTCTATTATAACTACCCTCTACCCATGACAATTAAAACTAAATTCAATAGTTTTATAGTAGATATAAATTAAATCATCCATACTCTTTCTAATGACACTAATTTCGTTAAAATCGGTTGATCCAAACCAAAGTTATAGGTATTTATCCACAAATATTTTCCCACTCTCCCCCACCCTTTATTTAAAAAAATAAAAAAAAAAGTACTTGAACAACTTTGTGCGGAATTTAGGCTTCTTTCTAGTTTACTTATTTAACACTTGGTATAATTGGGCATATTTCACAAAAAACTGGTTTTCAAATTTTTATTCACAGGTTACGCCTCCTAGCGGTTAACCCAGAAACTTGAAAGCTATTTCCAGCGATTTCTCTTGACCACTTTTACTGGAATTTTTTCTCCTAAAGTTATGACATGAATAGTTTCTGATATATAGCCGAGAGATCGGCTTATTGGACCACCCGGTAAAACAAAAAAAGTGCTAATAATCTGTTGTGTAATTTATTAAAAAGATTTTAATAAAACCTTATATTTCTTCTAATGCACACAACATGAATTACACCACTTTGGGTTTAACACTATCATATATGTAAGTTAATGAAATTTTATGTCTCTTTATTATTGATTTGTCAATATTTTTTATAACAACACTACACATTTAAGTTCTTTTTTTCTTTTTCCTTTTTTTCTCTACTACACTACTCTACTTTTTTCACACAATTTTTTATATATATATATTTTTTAATTTTTACAATTTTTTATAGTTTTTAATATTTTTTTACAATTCTGTATAATTTTTTATAATTTTATTAGGGTTAATATAATTTATTTAACTTTATTGAATTTTATCTACTATTACTAAATTTTATTTATTTTTACTTAATTTTATTTATAGAGTTGTTATAAAAAAATATATTACATACAATTATAATAAGTGTATATGTATGTATATTGTGAATATTACATTATACCGGAAGGTTACTGCACGCGTCTCGATTTTTTGAGTCATACTAAAGGTCGATTCAGACACATCAGTCACGTCTCGTCACAGTCCCGGTGCCGAACCGAACAATCCGTCATACAAAATATTCTTTAATAGAAATATGGCGCCGGCATTCACATTCATCAGTTGACGAACTGTTTCCCATCTGTCAGATAATTAATAGTTCTGTGACCAAACAGGACCGGTTCGGCGCCGAGACTGTGACGGGACTGATGTGTCTGAATCGATGTTAAATAGGATTCGGGCCCGTGAAAAACATCATACCGAGCGATAAGAAGTAAAGTCAAAATATAATTCAATAATTAAATAAACATTACGAGATTGTTTCTTTCACATCAGGTGTTAGGTTAGGAACTATAAAACGTGTTACACCACCCTATTTTATTACACTCCACGCAGCAGTGAGACCTTGACGTTGGTGAAGAGACTAAAGTTCGTCTTGGTCGTAGTTGTAAGGCAAACACGATAAATAAGAAGGAAATAATAAGATAGGTAAAGAAATAATAATAAGACTTACAATCAATTTAATTTAACAATCAGACGACCGGTTTCGCTTTCTACAATTTGCAAAGCATCTTCAGGTCTAGATACAAAGTTAAACTAATGCTGCAATAAAATAAACCCAATTAGGGTGGTGTCTAATAAAGATAAAATAAACAAATAAGTTAGTTCATACAAATTATAGTAATTATGCCAATATTACATGTCTGTGGTTTTCAAAATGAATAAATTTGAATATATAAAAGGTATTAACAGACAAGGTAAGACCCACAATTGGTATAAAGTAGTAATATTATATTGTAATAAATTAATAAATGAGCAAATAAATAAAACAAAACAAACATTACTTACATGCCGGTACTCTATTAATTGATGGATGGTAGGTCATGGTTGCAAAAATCATGTACTGTTGATTGGAGAACTTTAATGTGCTATTGCAGTTGTTTTGACAATAAACGGGAAGTTCTTGAGGAGAACAGATTTGATCCAATGAATTAGAGATAGGTATATTGTGGTTGTTTGTCAAATGAAAGTGATGTTCTTTACTATTGTATTATTTAAATTATTTACACTTATATCAGAGATATATTTTTGGAATGTGTGTTATTTATTGAGTATTTATGTTATGAAGGAGACAGTTTTATGACAATGAATAAGAGTAGCTGTATCGATTGTGTGGTTGTGCAATTATTTTGACTTGTAATTATCAAGATCAAGATAATTGATTAATTTTGCCAATAGACTTGATAATTACAAGTCAAAATAATTGCACAACCACACAATCGGTACAGCTACTCTTATTCATTGCCATAAAACTGTCTCCTTCATAACATAAATACTCAATAAATAACACACATTCCAAAAATATATCTCTGATATAAGTGTAAATAATTTAAATAATACAATAGTAAAGAACATCACTTTCATTTGACAAACAACCACAATATACCTATCGCTAATTCATTGGATCAAATCTGCTCTCCTCAAGAACTTCCCGTTTATTGTCAAAACAACTGCAATAGCACATTAAAGTTCTCCAATCAACAATACATGATTTTTGCAACCATGACCTACCATCCATCAATTAATAGAGTACCGGCATGTAAGTAATGTTTGTTTTGTTTTATTTATCTGCTCATTTATTAATTTATTATAATATAATATTACTACTTTATACCAATTGTGGGTCTTACCTTGTCTGTTAATACCTTTTATATATTCAAATTTATTCATTTTGAAAACCACAGACATGTAATATTGGCATAATTACTATAATTTGTATGAACTAACTTATTTGTTTATTTTATCTTTATTAGACACCACCCTAATTGGGTTTATTTTATTGCAGCATTAGTTTAACTTTGTATCTAGACCTGAAGATGCTTTGCAAATTGTAGAAAGCGAAACCGGTCGTCTGATTGTTAAATTAAATTGATTGTGAGTAAGTCTTATTACTATTTCTTTACCTATTTGACATGGACTCACACAAGCAACACATTCACGATTTGAAATAATAAGAATATGGCATTCACATATTATTATTATTATTATTATTTTGGTTCTAAAAATGGCATACCGATTACACTGTCACTCTGTGAAAGATACTTCAAAATCAATCGGTTCCTTTGAAATCTACAACCTACCCCATTGTATTTACCTTTAAATCCCGCAATTAAAGCAGGTGATAAAACATCATACAATTCCTGTACATGGTCGTCATGGCACGTGAAAATAATCGCTACTAAACATTTTACAGCCGATCTTCGAACTTTCCAGCTTATGTGATAGTCACTTACACGTCTTTGAATATCATGTTCATCATAAGTGGCACCATATGTCATGTACTTCAAGCAAAGCTGTCTTACCTATAACATATTTTTAAATTAAAAGTTAAATATTATACAGTATATTTAGTAATGGTCACTGCTGGATTATGTGAAAATGAGAAAACATCTTTTAACAATATAGATATGGCATTTGTATATGCATTTTACAGTACCACAAACCTTTAATTTTAAATAGGGAATAGACCACATGTGGCTTATCAATAGGTATTTCGCTGTAGAATACACATTTTCGGTAATACAGCTTAATTATTTTAAGGCTTTTACTTTCTAAATTTTCAAAAAAATCGACATTTTACATTTTTACATAAAAACGTTCTACGATTCTAAAATTTTAAATTTTAGATAAATGACCAATTAGAAATATCTCGAGAACTAAAGGTAACTGAATCATGAAATTTGGAATGAAGGGGTTTTGAAGAGTGAACTGTTTAATGAGAATATTTTCATCTATTTGCTACTTACCGGTTGTCGCTTATAACTGCGTTTTTTTAATGGGACACCCTGTATATTTTTTAATTTTAGAAATATTCACGTTATTACATTTCTGAACATTTCTATTAATACTTCCCTATACCTATTGTGAACCCTTTTTCTATTTATGTATACAAAGTTCAATATCCTCTAGTATAATTTGAACAATAGTTTAAATTGCTTAGAAACGTATTAACCATAAAAAGCTTTATCGTTTACAGTATAAAGTTGCCTTTTTCATTATACAGGGTGCTATCAAAATTGGCATAAAACCGGCATTCTACATTTTCGCCTAATTATTATTTTTTTTTTAAATGGGACACCCCGACACCCTGTATGTGATTCATTATTTTATAAAAAAAAACATGTTTATCACTATTGATCTGTATTAGTATTCCTTATACCTCTCTTGCAGTTTTCAAATAAATTAACTTTATACATTTTTGAGTTTTGAGTTTGTAATTAAAAAAATGAAAAGACTCCAGCACCGATCAGAGGTAATGTAAGTCGATAAAACCTCACCAGCTACAGGGGGTCATGTAAGATGCCCCATTTTCAGTTTTTATTAATTTACAAGTTAACAGTCTATTGCATTTACCTTTATAAATACCATGAGGATTGTTTTTTAATACGGATGTCCTTCCAATGTTTTTATGTGGCCATACAATGTTTTTAACAACTTTTACCAACGTGTTCTTTGTATATATTTAAATTTTAACTTACTTGTTTTTTAATATTGGTATTTTTATCTTTAAAATAAAAAAATTAAGCTTTTAATAAGCATTTTTTTTACCTTAATACACACGAACACCACGTGCTTTGTATTCAATCAAGCTTTGGAAGACGTTAAGACGAAATTACAATGGAAAAAACGGGGTATTAACATAAATGGCAAATACGTGAATCACTTGAGATATGCAGACGACATTGTAATAATAACAGATAAAAGGAAAGAATTACAAAATATGATGGATGAATTAAATAGCGAATCAACAAAAATAGGTCTACACATGAATTATAATAAAACGAAAATTATGACCAACCAACCAGAAGAATTAGTAATTACAATTGCACAAACAACTATAGAACAAGTAAAAGAATATGAATATTTGGGACAACTAGTTAAATTAAATAAAGAAAATCAGACAGGAGAAATAAAGAGAAGGATACGGTCGGCTTGGGTATCCTTCGGAAAACTTTCTTATATATTAAAAAATAGAAAATACCCCCAATATTTAAAAACAAGAGTCTTAAACCAATGTATCTGTTCTCACTTACGGTTCTCAAACTTGGACGTTTACAAAGGAAAACATGGAAAAATAGTAAAGACCCAAACAGCCATGGAAACGCAAATGCTCAACATCAGGCTATCAGACAAGAAAAGAAATACTTGGATTCACAACAAAACAAAAGTGACCGATGTATCAACGCAGATAGAAAAACTTAAGTGGAAGTTCGTTGGACATACCATAAGACAGAAAGACGAAAGATGGAATAAGATGATTATACACTGGAGACCATATAGTTACAAATGAAAAAGAGGAAGGCAACAAACGAGATGGTCAGATGACTTGAACAAACACGCAGGCCTGAAGTGGATACAAACTGCCTACAATAGAGAGACACAGAAAAAGGAAAAGGAGGCGTATATCCAAAATTGGATAGCAAGGGTTGTATACATAGATATATAGGTTTGCTGTAGATGGGCAACTTCATAGGGTTTTTATAGTCGAGTGAACAAGGTTTGGGTAACATTTTTCTTGACCTTTAGGAATCGATCTTAGAATATCCGCAGCATCACCTCGTAAAGCAGCATTTTTAAGGTATATGGACCAAGAAGACTTCCCATCAATGGTAGCAATTTGAATCTCATATGATGTGTCGTTTCGTCTCTCGGTGATTCTTCTTTTACTACATAATCTAAAACTACGGCATTTTCGTATTGGTTATCATGTTCTCGATTGCTTGATCTTCTCTTTTACATCGCATACATTTTTCTCTATGCGTATCTTATCGAATGTTCTAGAAACTTTTTCAAATTTTTCATTGTTCTGTCTCCATACTTCTTTAATTATTTGAGAAGTCGAATCCTTTAGAAACGTTTTCGAATTTATCATCATTATTTCTAAAAGTTTCTTAAATTTTTGTTAAACTTGCTTCTTCTGCTGACTGAAAATGGAATGTCTCTGGGTCATCTCCATTCTTATTGAGAACATCCCTCAGTCGTCCCTAAAGGATCTTCTTGGATCAGCTGCAGTCTTCTGCATCACGGCACAGACGTAGTTTCCAAATGATCTTTCTTACAAAAATCACTACCGAACTACGTGGGTGATCCCTGCGACGAATTGAATCCCTTTGAAATTAAAAAAAAAATGTTACAGGAAGGCAGAAAAGTGTCTCCCAAATTAAAATGCATCTTTTGGAAGACACTTTTGGCAGTGGTGAACAACAACTAAAAATGAAAAAAAAAATTGTACCTGAAAACCTTCTTAACAATGTTTAAAAAATATATAACAATAAATATAATAGTTTTTTTACATTCAAAAATTGCTTTTTTTTCCAATTTAGAAAGTAAAAATTCCATATGGTTATTCTTAGTAATGGTAATTAATTTAACCACTTACCGAAACAATATGTGAAGACATCGCTCTGGTACATTTTTTTATGAAAGCCTCACAAGCTTGTAAACAGACTTGACGTACACGAGAATCATGAACATTATCCAGGTAATTTAATACTAATGGAACAAATGTTTCAAGATGGTCCTCAAATTTATGTTCAGATTCATTGCTATAAAGGCAAAGTTTTGTTATAAATATAGGGTGCAGCATTATTTCGATAAAGTCCAATTACTCATTTGTCGTAAGAGAAAAAAAACTGATTGAGGTAAAAGTTGCAGCATAGATAGGGTGGAATAAAATCATCTTTTTTGTAACGAAACACCTTGTATATTTATACATTTTTGGACTCTTCTCTATGTTCTCTTTTTTGCAATTTAAGTTTTGAAATGTTATAAGAGGTAGTTTAATGGATAACTACGATTGTTTTTATTAATTATTTCATAGCAACATTAACACTGTTGAATTGTAGAGACATGACATACCTAAAATACGTAAGTAGTAAGATTGTTTGTGGATAAAATTTTAATAACACATTGATTTTGAGACTAAACTCAATTTGAGGAGCCTAGAAGCCAAGGGGTGCAATTTTAAACAAAATTAAGTACACTAAGTAGTTGTTATGGAGTCAAATATTGTTGTGGCAAAGGGATACAAGCGTATCACTATACAGTGCTGCAATCTAGCGAATGGTATAAGTATTACCTCAAATATCAGCTGTTTTTCTGAGAAGCCAAGAGGTACAAGCGCCACTTGTACCTCTTGGCCTCTAACTGACTGTCACCCGAGTTGTTTGTTGTTGAATATTGTACACGCTAGTCGACACTATTGCTGTCGTATCTTTTAATTCAAACTTTACCCATATTGTTCTATGATAGTTGGCAACTTTAAAGTAAAGTAACCAAAGTTTTGCTACCTTAATCAAAATTGACATCGCAAGTATTGTAGATGAAGAAGAACAGGAGTCTCAACACAACCTCTTTAGCGGTAAGTGAAAATTCTGTAAAGCCCATAATTTGTGTTTATAAAGGCTATGAATCAGATTATTATCAGATAAAACTAATGCAAGTCTTATTTTTTCAGACGACTCAGATGTAGACTCATGCAAAGCGGGCAAGAAATGAAGGGCACCTTTATACTGACCGAAAAGGAACAGTGCATCGAGCAAAGCGTATGGAAGAGTTTAACGATAACTGTAGATACGGTTGTAATACAAATATCAAGGCTAATTGGCTTAGTTCCAGTGCCATAAAACAAAACACACACACACACACACAAATGCCAAATCTATTTTTTAATTACTTGGGGTCTTGGAAGCTGGGACCTTCAAACTTCTTTTTTATGTTTTTGCACTAGTCTTCAAGACCCTGCAAGAAAAAATCTAATGCGAGCAATGTAAAGAGAACAAGCTGTACTTACACATTAGAAGGGTATAGAGTGTTTAAGGTTTTTTTTTATGAAAACCCTTGATGTCAGTAATAAAATAATTACTAATGTTATAATGAACAAAATGACCAGCACAAACTCGGTTTATCACAAGGACCAAAGAGGTCGTAAAGCTCCATCGAATAATACAACAAATGAAACCATTTACTTAATCAAAGAACAAAGTCGCTTCCTAAGTACAGTAGCCATTACTCTAGGATTAGATCTCCAAAATGTGAAGTATTTGAGCGTGGAACTGAGAACGAAAAAAATCTACACTTTGTATGTAGAACTATGTATGGAAAAAAACGTAAACCCTGCGAAGGAGAGTTACTATAGGTATATTTTCCGTACTAATTTTAGCCTTTCACTCAAGAGACTTCACACCGATACGTCTGTCAAATGTGACACACTAGAGAATATTATTAATAATGGTGTTGATCCAAAAAGCAACAGCAAACATTGAAAAAGAATTACACTTGCGCAAGGCACAAGCTGCAAAAAATGCAAAGGATGATGATGTATCGAATTTCAAAGATGACCCAACTACAGTAGTTGTATGCTTTGATTTACAAAAAACGCTTCCAACTCCTATTTTAACCTGCAAAAAAGCATACTATAGCCGTCAACTTTGGACTTTATAATTTTTGTGTGCAAAATATTTGCACTGGACAGGCACAGATGTTTTTGTGGCATGAAGGCCAAGGTAATCGTGGTTGCAACGAAATTGCTTCCTGCCTTTGGAAATACATCCAGACGCTGCCACCAACCGTTAAGCGCATAATTCTACAGTGACAACTGTGGTGGCCAAAACAAAAGTCATTATATTGCAAAGTTCTGGCATTACGTAGTCCAAAAGACACAAATTGATACTGTTGACCACAGGTTTCTGGTAGTGGAACATTCATTCATGGAATGTGACCAAGATTTTCTGATTTTCGAAAAAGCGAAAAACAGCAACCATCAGCAGGTTTATGTACCAAGTATGTGGGCCGACATCATAGTGAAATCTAGTAGGAAGTTCATGGTGACGCAAATGGAGGATGATGACTTTGTGTCTTTAGATTCACTAGAACCTTACTTTAGGAAAAAATGTACCAGGTATCAGTAAACTGCAGCGTATGCATTTTGAGAAAGCATATCCATACACACTGTTTTACACAGGAAAGCGTCAACCTTCCTACCTTTTACCAGCTGAACATGAAGTCCTCAAGAGCTGGTCGACCTCTCAACGAACTCCCGTTATTAGCAACAACAGGAGACAAGCCAAAAATCACGAAACTTAAATTTTACAACTTACAGTCACTTTTGCCATATGTTCCCCTATCTATCACAACTTCTTCAACACCTTACAATACGCTAATGGGCCTAACAATGTTCCTGTCAAAGTTAACCAGAATGCTATTGTTCCCCAGATACCGAAGAGCCAGGAAACATTATTGATAGCGAGTCAGAAACTGATTAGTTATACTTCAGGATTGGTAGTATTAAACTGATTTAAACAATTTTGTAACTTATTCTATTAATGATTTTGTGTTAAATTACATTATTTTCACCAGTTGTATTTTTTACTCAAACCAAATTTTCATATACAAAACAAACCCAAAGGGTTCAGTCAATATCTAGTTCTATTTTTGGAAGCAAAGGTGTACAAGTGATCACCCTTATCACCTTATCAAGGATTGTAAAATAAGGGCAAAAAGACAAGATCTAAAACTTATTCTACAGCTTATGTAACACTCCTAAGTTATTTTAAAAAGTGTTTCATGTGTATAAAACAATTACATTATAATTTTAAAAGAGAGTTAAACTTAAACCTTCTTTTTCTCATTTAATATTTAGTCACTTGTGCCCCTTGGCTTCTAGGCTACTCATTTATAATTTGATATGAGACTATTTTTTACAGTTCCTGTTGCTTTGTTACTATAACTAACATGAATATTTCTAAGGAGGAACTGAGGTATTTTAGGTATGTCAAAGTTATGAAAAAATGTAAGAAATTATCTTTTATACTACCGTATAACATTATACTGCAAAAACAAAAAAAAAGATAATTTTGTTCCAGTCATTCAACATGGCATCGCATTATTTAAAAAATTCTTATGTGAATATCGTTAAGATGCCTAAAATTGATCAAAGTTACTTACCACACAGCAATAGTGCACTGGATATAAGTTAGAATGTAAGCACTGTTTTCCTCAGAGCACAATTTTTGATGTAAGTAGCGAACAAGTTCATTATACAAATCAGTATTGCAGCTGAGTACAAATTTGCTGCAAGCGTTAATAGTGCGTGTCCTAACAATTTCGCTTGGTGAGCGGAGCTGAGCAAGTAGTGTTTCTAAAATTGCGAAATGGAAACTTTCCAAAACTGCACTAAACCGTGTTAATAAATCTGTTACAATATCTAATGCTTCCATTTGAAACGGTACATCTTCATTCTGTAAGATATTTGTAAATATTAAATTCTAATAATAAGTATTTTAAAAGGAAAATTAATGCATAATAATAGTTCTACATACCTAGTACAAGTCGTAAAGATCAATGGGGGGAAATATCAAAGACGTGCATGAGAATGATTCGTTCAGTAATGAACAATATAAACGGGTTGCACAGTAAAAAAATAACTTGTATTTACCTAATATTTTCTGTAAAGTCCAGTTTTTAGCCTAACGTTTTTGTTACATCTTTATTAACCTTTTTCTAGTAGTTTTCGATAACCTGTTTCAAGGAGGAGTCCTTAGATAACAATATTTTTGTCTTTTGTCCTTTTCTTGTCTTGTGTATTCTTCAATTAAATTGCATACCTATTTTCTTATTTTATCTTACCTAATATTCTGAAGTTTTTTCTTTTCAGAGCCTTTATTCCTTTTCTGTACTCTTTTGTAATATACTAGGTGACATAGGAAACCCAACACTCATTATACTTAAACTATTATATTTTGGAAATATTTGTATAGCCCTTTTTTAATTCACTGTTTAGTTAATTAACAACCTTAAGGGCTAAAATTAACCAATTTTGTAAAAGAGCTGTGGTTTTTAATAAAAATTTGTAGCAAAAAAAATGATTGAAAATTGTTTAAACATGGGTGTTATAAACAAAGAGTACTTTGCGGTCCGTCTAGAGTAAAAGGAGTGGAGGGTAGCCGACCGAAGGGCCAGCCGCACTCTCCAAAAAATCCAACACGGTTTCAAAATAGAGCGCTCGGAAAAAAAAGTGACATATTTCGGGTTCTACTGACTATATTTGCTCATTTTTAAAACTGGGGTACAACATTAAAATAATATCATTTATCCACAAGGAATCTACGTTCCTGTAGTTGGCTGTATACCATGTATTAAAAATTTTTAATTAAAAATCCTTTGTAATAGGTATATTTTAGGCCCAAACGGGCTAAGTTAAAAAGACAAAACGTTTTCGGAAACCATGTTCCATCATCAGTGTCCTAGAAAATAGTTAACCACTCAATTAAAAAGAACATAGGTTAAAATTTTTGACTAAGGTTAAAGAACAATGTGGTTAATACTTACTAGGAGTACATGAATGTAGCCACCAAGATTAAATATGTGGGTAAAAACCCGATTACAGATGTTTAATTACATTTAGTTTTAAAATAATGTTATAATGATTTAGGATTATAGAGTTACCGATGGATTAGGTAACATGGCGACATATGACTCCACGTTGAAGTTGCTAGTCCTGATATAATAAAATTTTTTCTATATTACATTGCTACATACATGTAATAGTTGGTTGCCTAACTACAACCATACAATTTTGCTCCCTTATATCATCTTAATTTCATAAATAAAAAACTACAACTTTGATGGTTGATACTGTTATATTAATTTACTTAATTTTCACAATTTTAAATAACGTTGGCTTTTGTCTTAAGTAGAAACATACAGCTACATTGACTGCTCTGTGATTATTTCCGTCATAACTTAACAATATTGTCATCAAATGTCATTGCCAATCAGTTGCACTCATACAGTCCTCGAAGACATACCGTTTCAGGACTAGCAACTTCAACGTGGAGTCATATGTCGCCATGTTACCTAATCCATCGGTAACTCTATAATCCTAAATCATTATAACATTATTTTAAAACTAAATGTAATTAAACATCTGTAATCGGGTTTTTACCCACATATTTAATCTTGGTGGCTACATTCATGTACTCCTAGTAAGTATTAACCACATTGTTCTTTAACCTTAGTCAAAATTTTAACCTATGTTCTTTTTAATTAAGTGGTTAACTATTTTCTAGGACACTGATGATGGAACATGGTTTCCGAAAACGTTTTGTCTTTTTAACTTAGCCCGTTTGGGCCTAAAATATACCTATTACAAAGGATTTTTAATTAAATATCATTTATCGTATTTTCATTGCAAAAATTGTCCAAAACAAAAAAAAATAATGACTACCGGATGTACAAATCTTTCTTAAGTCGCTTTTTATTGTTATGAATTTATTTATTGATTTAAAATATTAAATAAATTGTTATTTATAAACAATATTTCCATATACTCTTATTAAATTTGATCCAATCAGTTTTTAGTATAAAAAAATAGATTTTTAGGACAAAAAATCGTGTATATATGGTATATATACATATATATATATATATATATATATATTATATATATATATATATATATATATATATATATATATATATATTATATATATATATATATATATCATGATATAAGGATACCAGATATGATATTGCCACGCACTAAACTCGTACACTCACGCGCATGACGTCACCTTGTGCTAAATTTTCAAAATGTATTCATGCTTGCGGATGAAACGAACTGTTGAAATTCTAATATAATTTACTAGATGTTTTATTTACTACGTGAATTTAAGCTTAAGTATTTAAATTAGTATATTGTAAAAAATAACAATTTTCCCATAAGAGTGAAGTTTGATGGAGGGAGCCATGGCCGAATGCCACAAATTGCAAACTATGGAATGTGATTTTCATACAATATATATTTTATATATAGTAGTTAGGTATTATTAACTGACACGTTAGGTAAACTATTTCTTTTGAGGTTGCAGTCATTAATAGGACAGAATAAGTAAAACTCTTTGTTCTTTTAATTTATTAGCTTTTCAGGATATGCTAAAATATGGTTATAATTATTTAATCTCCTACCTACATATATATATATATATATATATATATATATACATATATATATATATATATAATATATATATATATATATATATATATATATGTATATATTTCTTTTGAGATTGCAGTCATTAATGGGCAGGATAAGTAAAACTCTTTGTTCTTTATTTAGCTTTCACAAAATTTATTCGCTTCTTCAGGATATGCTAAAATATGGTTATAATTTTATTTATTCCAACTTAATTGGAGAACCATGTCTAAATGAAGCCAAATGTACGTTTAAAATTTTGTTAAATCTTCGTTCTGCGAATATTATTTTTTGCAAAGTTTTTGTGTCCTTTGTTTCTGTCTGTTTTTTAAGTTAGTTCTAAATAATGAGTAAACTTAAGTACATATATAATAACATCTTTAATACTACATATTGAGTTAGAACTGATGAAGCTTTAGAAGTATAAAGCGAAACGTCTTCTATAAACTTATAAAGTAGTTGACTTCTGTTTTATATTTTGCCAAGCTGAATGACCGATTCATCACTTCAATCACTTTCAACAAAGTGCTGAGAGCAAACACGAGCAAATTTAACATTAAAATTATCCTGGCGTTTACACAAATGTTTCCAAACAGCTTGCATTTCCTTGTCTTTTGGAAAGCTATAAAATGCTGTACCGGGTACAAAACTCTTGCACATATTGTCAACGGCACAACCATACACTGCACACCTCATATCGGGAAAAATTTAAAGCCTTGTAACACTTTTAAAATATTATTTTATTAAATATTGGCTATGAACCGTAAATGTACATAAACGTCAAAACACAATATGGCGAAATTTAGCACAAGTTGACGTCACAAAAGTCATGCATAAGCCACGCCCACATGCGCGGTATCTTATCTGTTTGTATTTGTATCATGTATATATATATATATATATATATACAGGGTGGTCCTTAAATAATTGTACAAAAAGAAACCGTAGATTCTATACTTTAAAGTATTACGATTTAAGCCAAATTGCTTTAATAAAATTTTAATTTTTCCTATAACTTTTATGTTTGTGAACATTTATGTATCAAAATTTATAACTGAGTAGTATTTAACATCAGGAATTATACTTGATGCATACTTTAATGTAGCTGATAAAGGGCGCCACATATGCCACAAATGT